CGGAGGGCCCAGATGACGGCGTCGCCGGCCCCCCCCCCCCCCCCCCACGCAGGTGACGGGTCACGTGGAGGGCGCCGAGGCGTTGCTCGGTGTCCGCGAGGCCTTGGTGGACGAGCCGGCGGCGACGGCCGCGGTCGCTCACGCCAGGGGGGAGGTGGCGATCGCGAGGCTGTCGGTCCGGAAGGCGAAGGCGGCCGCGGACAGGGCCGAGGAAGAGGAGAGGTGGGGTGTGAGGGAACGGGCGTGGTGTTTGTCTTTTGTGCCGGTTTGTGGGCATAGGAAAAAAGTGTTGGACTTTGTCGTGCATTCTCAGTAAGATAAAGACAGGCTGGTGCTTCTGCTTTCGTGTTGCCATGATGGGCTTGTGCTTTATCAGAAGAAGTATGCTGGTCGTGTAGTCTCAACAGTAAAAGCAGGCTGGTACTTTCGCGTTACCGTGACTTAGGCTTGTGTTTTTGTAAGAAGAAGTAATTGGTCGTGTGTTCTCAATATTAAAAACAGGCTGGTACACTGCTACTGCTTTCACGTCTGTTTGTGTTGCCATGAATTAGGGTTGGAAGCCCTTGCGCTGGTCGCGGTAGTGGGGGGGGGCGGTACCGTGGTGGAAAGTGTCTTTTCATGGGCTGGGGGGTTCATCGTAGATATATAAGCACATGTTCCGGCTCTTCTTCCTTTGTAAGTGTCTCTCTTTGTTTCGATTTTTCGTCGGCGTTGTCGGCCGGTGTCTTCGTTTTGGTTCGTTCCTTCTGGCTGATATAGCCTCGTCGTTGTCGTCGTCGTGGTTTCTTTTGCCCCTCACTTTGCACGCCAAAAAACACCATCACGCCGCGCAGAATCCGCATCGAGCGGGAGAAGGACAGGGGGCTCCGCGACGCAGCTCGGGCGACGCTGGTACAGCTGCGAGAGTCCCTATCGCAGGGCCTCGCCTTGGTGGCGGCAGAGAGGCAGCACAGGGGCATCAAGCCGCAGGCGGACAGGGGTGGGTGGAATATGTAGGCAAGCCCCGCCTGATTTGCTATAGCGCCTTTTTAATATATTTTCGTCAATTTCTCGCCGAGCGGGAAGGGACCGGGTTGGAAGGGGTTTACGCGCTCCATGTGCTTACACCGCTCGCTTCCTCGACGCGTCCGTGACTTCCTCCTTTGAAGGCGTTCGTTCGGTGCTGGTATTCACGGTGAGCGCGGCACCGGTGTGGCGATGTAGAAGTACAGGCAAAACTCCATGCGGTAAACCTTTGTGTTTCGCATGCGCACCCCCGCGGTGGCGTTGGGCCCGGTGGAGGATCGTGACTCTTACACAGAAACAACACATGAAAATCACCTTTCCACTTTCCACGTTACGTCCCTTGAGAATACTTTCTGCAGTCCCCCCGGCCGGAAAGGCTTCGTGACAGTTTATTGTAGTTCAGTTTTTTTGTCTCAAGTTTCCCCTTGACCACCACAAAATATATCGATCGCAGCGAAAGGTTGGGGCGGAACAGCCCGTGGTGCCGGCGTTTCCCGTTCAAAAGCAAATAACCCCCCTCTCCCTGGCTTCTTCGATGATGATTCGAAAAGTGTGTTGATCGACCAACGTCTTGGAGGAGGTCGTCAAAGGTGTACTGTCAATCGACCAAATTGGCACTCGAGGCGTTGTGCCTCCGTTTGGTGTGTTGCGCCGCATTGCGCCGTGCCTCGCGCTAACCGTGTCCCATCTCTCTGCCTGCGTCCGATCAAAGCAACAGCTCCTGCTTCCACGATTGCCCTTGTTTCGGCCTCCCCACCAAGCGGTTGATTGTACACAAAACATGCACACGTACAATCGGCATCGATCAATGAACCGATGTCGAAGGTCGCCGCGCTTTTGGGTGTCTGCGAGACGTTTTCGAGACTTGTGGTTGTTGGTCGGGAGGATGAGCCCAGGCGTTCCTACTCATTTCTGGTGCATGTTTGTTCATTCGCAGTTTTTTGTGTATGTGTTTTTTTTTCTGTCTCCGTCACTCGTTTTCACGACAATTCTCCCACTCTTGGCACCCGATGAAAACAGCCGCCGCGCTGCTGGACGAGGTGTCGGAGGCGTGCTCGAAAGAAGGGGGTTCGGAAGCTTTCGGCGGTACGGCGGAAGGAGGCCTCGTGGCGGACGCTAGGAGAGCCACCGAGACGGCCATCACCAGGCGAGACAGATACAAGATAGATTCCATCCGTATGAGATCCACGAGTGGAGGAGGAGCATCGATTGTTGTGTTCTAGTTTATCTATTCTGCCGCTACCCTATGTTGTTGTTGTTGTTGCTCCTCATTGTCTTCTCCTACTGCATGCCATCTCTGATACTTCGATGTGCTAGCGTATTCCCTGTCTTAAATCTGCTGTCCGGCAGTACGTAGAGCGCACAAGTTTTTGGATTATTTCGCCAATGAGAGCACTTGGCGAACAGACAAAAACAAATAATAAAAGAGAAGACAGAAAGGCGGAAGAACATTCAAAGCGATCGTTCTTGCGGAGCTGGCGTCTTGCACTTTTTTTGTCCTCTTGCGCGGATGCTGTCCTTCGTCCGTCTCTGAAGGCAGGCCATTCAAGATATATCGCGTGTGACAAGCAACGACATAAAAGCCGTCCCTCCGTGCCTCTGATATGAGTTTCCATCGATCGCGTGTGTTTTGCTGTTTTTACGTATGGGCCAGAGTGTACATTCAGTTTATAGAGCGAGCGCGTTTTCAGCTGCGCGTCCCATCTTCCGCAACCATAGTCACGCCGCTTGTTTTTCGGGCGTTGTTGCCCTCAGGTCCATGCCTCGCCCCCCCAAACCGAAACTATGAGACTCTTCCTGTCCCCCGTCTCCTCCCTTTCGCGATCCCTCATCGTGGACCCTCCATTCCTCCCGCTCCTCCCTGTCGGTTTGATTACCACATTCACGGCGGCGGTGTCGATGTATCCCTTTTTCTTTTTTGCTTCCCTGTGTGTGTGTGTGTGTGTGTGTGATCAAGCTGCTTGTTCAAGCGAAAAATTGGAAAACGCGTGGAGTCCGCCTCATCGCCGTGCTCTAACATGTAATAGTAATATTGTTTCACCCCCTCCCCCCGCACGCCCGCATTTTGGGTGCTGTGTGTGTGAACCGTCGGCGGGGACCTAACAAAATTTCCAATGGAATGATGAAACCACTCACCAGAGCATGCATGCTCCAGCGCTACCTGGGCACGTGCGCGCGGTTGAAGACCCTCAAGGCGACGGTCGCCACCACCGTTGACCACCCGCCAGCTGACGGCGGGAGCGGTGGCGTTGGCGGTAGCGGCGGCGGCGAGGGCGGCGACAACAACAAGGGCAATTTGTTGGCGGCGCAGGTCGAGGTGGTAGAGACGGTCCTGTCGAGGGACCTGGAGGGTCTCAGTGAGGGGGACTTGCTGCTCATGTGGGAAAGGTACAGTTGACGCCAGCTTTTGAGAAACGTCCTTCTGGGGGGGTCGAGGTTCGATTTCTTGGTTCGTCACTACCGTCGAGCATAGGTCATTATATAGAGTTTAGTGTAGGATAATCCACGGCTGAGGTGCGATTCTTATTCGATTTTTTTCAGGTACGTATCGCCGAAATCTGAGCTTTTGTTGAGGTTTGTTTCTTGATCGCGGGAGGGAGCTATAACTGCTGTGTGCGTTCCGCACCACTCTGTTTTTGTAGCTGTGCTCGTTACTGTCTGTGCTCGCCGACTCAGGAAGAAAGGCAGACATTTACCACCTTACTACCCTCGCTTTCCACCTTACTATGCTGTGTGGTGGCGGTGTAAACCCCACCTGACACCGCACTGGTCCATTGTCGCTTCCACATCGTCGTTGCTGCTACAATTGTGGTTTGGAGTAGTCCGCGACGAACGGCAGTTGCCCCAAGCTTCGCACCTCCGGTCATGTGTACTAGCTCCCTATTTTGTTTGTTTCTGTCTCTTTTCGTCTCTCTCTCTGCTGTCTGTTTATCTCTTCCTCTCTTCCTCTCTTTCTCTCTTCCTCGTTGTCTCTCTTAATCACTATTTCTCTCTTTTCTCTCCTTCTCTCTTTCTCTCTCTTTCTCTCTTTTCTCTCTTTCTCTTTCTCTCTTCATCTCTTGCTCTCTTTCTCTCTTTCTTTCATTTCTCTCTTTCTCTTTCTCTCTTCATCTCTTCATCTCTTTCTCTCTTTTCTCTCTTTTCTCTCTTTCTCTTTCTCTCTTTCTCTCTTGCTCTCTCTTGCTCTCTTTCTTTCTTTCTCTTCCTCTGGCGTTCTCTGCTGTCGTGGGACGTAAAAAGCGCGGAGGAGGCGCTTGGCGTCGCGGACGGGTTGCTGGAGTCGCTCAAACTCGTCAATGCCGCCAGGTATGCACATGTGTACATCAGTATTGCGTCGTCGTCTATTTGGCGTATTGTTTCTACGTCTACACAGCAGTTTTAGCTTCTAGTGTGTGTGTGTTTTGGCATGTTTTCCTTTTGGGTGTTCGTCTGCATCAGACCCCGTTGTAGTTCGAAGCGCCCTGTGGCCTAAGCCCGTGAAAACCTCTCCATATTTCCACCCACGCACACGCAGTTAATGGCATTTAGAAGTGTTTTGTGTTTTCAACCGCACTCAGACTGACGTCTTTTCATTGGTCAGCCGGTTAGCTCGGTCAATGCTAATAATAAAACACACACGCGCGTTCGCGCCGAGTGTACCACTACCTGCTGTCGCCCTTGGAAAGTATCGAAACAGGCCTCTGAATAATATGTGTGGTCCACCTCCCCCCCCCCCTCCCAGGCATCGCCTTGCGGACACGAGGGCAGCCGTGGCGAACGGCGACCCATTGCTCAGGTCCTCGGAGGGCATCATGCGCCTAATCGCGGCGGCCGTCATGTCCACGGCCAGAGCGCAACGGTATGTCATATTGTGTACTTGCCGTCGAGTCTCAAGCTACCTGCCCTGTGGCGGGGTAGCGGGGCGACACCTCCTCCAAGGTGTTGCGATGCGACCGTGCGAAACTGCTGTTGGAATTTCTTTGTTGCCTTGAGAACATGGTGGTGAGAATTGGTTTGTCAGCGGGTTCAGGATTGACATGATCTCCACGCGTACGCATGTGTTCGATCATGAAAATCCGACCGACCCCCTGTCTTCCGCTCTCTTTGCAGCACAAAGTAACCGCTCTACCTCATTATATCACGGCCTACAAGAGGCGGTTTCTGGTTACATGTCAGAGCGGATTTTAATGTGAAGGCGACAACAATACCCCTTAAAAGTCTCCATGAAAATCTGTCAAAATTGCATTGTGCTGGTCTTTCGTCGGACACTTGAGACTACCATCATGTGTAAGGAACGAATCGAACGCACACACATACATAATCATGTAGGGAGTGGATTACCTACCCTCGCGGCGCTAGTAGAACTGCTGTATCCTTTCTTTGGCGCGCGCGAGAGAGCGTTGCCAACAAAATGATCGTGGATCGCACGAATGATTTTTCATCATCTTTCACTGCCGAGCGCATGATCACATCATGCCTCGTAAACGCGAACTCCTATATGCTCTTTCGCGAAACTGACACAGGGAGGGTGTTGTCAAGCACCCGACGGCTGCGGCAACGGCCGGCAGGCACTCTGTGACGTCACCAGCCGAAACGGCAGATCGGTGGCGGAGGGCGGCGATTTCGGCCGACTCAGACGTGGCGGCTGCCATGCGGGAGGTGGAGAGGGTTAGCGGCGAGCTTCGGGACAAGCACCGGCGCGAGGTGAACATTTAGAACCCCCTGTGGTGATGCATTTAAAAATTCCAGGCTTGGCATGTCAAGGTTTGGATGTTTAGGATAGGGGTAGTCAGTCTTGTTTGCTCGATGCGTATCTTAGCAGTCTCCCTCTCTGTTGTGTTCTGTTTCTGCGCGAGTTGCGTGCGCCTGTTGTCCGCGACAGCAACATTGTGCTTCGTTCGCTGCTTGCCCTTGGTTGTGTTGTGTCATAACAGTCCGGGGGTAGCCCCGGCCTCAACTGAAGCCTTTTTGTCACTCTTTTTTCCCGCGGCGGAAATTGCACTGCTTGAAAACGGAAGCGGCGGTGGGGAAATTTGAGGGTATGCCAACTCCCGAGGTGTTGTCGGAGGTTCGAGATCATCGGGGTATGGTACAGAAAGAACCCGATTGTGTGCGGAGAAGTCAGAGGCAGACCTGTCGTGTGTGTCTGGGGTGACGGCGCGTGCACTGCGTGATGATGAATCTAGCGGACTCTTGGCGAGAGCGTGTTGCACATACGAGTGACTCAAGTTCCTTGTACGCATTGCGGAACGACTTGCCCACGCAGCTGCTAGCCCGGCCTGGCGCGTACCGCCTCCCAGGCGTAAAACGGAATCGCCAGGGAGAGGGATTGTTGCCAGAGTTCGTTCCGGACGCAAAGAAGCGGGTCGTTGTTTGGGTTAACTCATCATTTTGTCGGGCCGGCAGTTTTGTGTGAGGAGTTTTCCTCTTCATAACCGGACTGCACGGTAAGAGGAAAAAAAGAGCCGCGAAGGCGACAAGCCGGGCGTACATGATGCGTGCAATCTGAGAGAGCCGCGGCGCTTTGCCGCGGCACTAGGTTGCTGCACGGTGAAAAAGCTAGGTTGCAGCTGTCCCGTTTAGGCTAAGCCGCGTCGCAGGAGGGGGTAAGGGCTAGGTTGCTGTACGGTGTCAGGGCTAGGTTGTTGTGCACCGTCAACGCTAGGTTGCTATACGGTGAAAAGCTAGGTTGCCGTGCAGGGCTGCACCTACCCAAGGAATGTTCCAAGGAATGGTATCCCGACATGGAGACCACTGCTTTCGACCAAGTCGTCAGCACTACTGCAATCTGAAGTGTGTGAAGAGAGCAGGGCGTGTGACCTTTACACTAACCATGGTTGTTGGCAGTCAGTCGTGGTGCTGGGTATGTATTCCGTCAAAACAGCAGTTAGTTGGTACGCTAACCTAACGTTGTGGTCGACAGTTTGGAAGGACAAATATTCCGTTGTTGCAGAGTAGTGACTGGCTGTGGTCGACAGTCTGAGAGAAAGAAAGAAATAACGTGGTGTGGAGTGCGTCGTAGTTGACGCGGGGGTGCTGCTCTGCGTATGGTGTGTGTGCTATCTGCTCTTCTTCTGCCCTTTTATGGTTCTCAATCAGTGCTTGCTGCAGTATTTTTGTTGTGCATCCACCCGGTATAATAATTGTTGTCGGCGGCGTAGTGTATGGTATCCCGTCGAAAGGGCAGCACAACGGAGGCCAATGGTTGGAACGGTACGTAGTAAATTGTGCACAAGAATCCTTTGGAGGTCGGTGCACGTTCCTCAGGAGTGAATGTAACATCTGCTCTGCCCCTCCCTGCCTCGCAAAAACGCCCCACAAACTAACGCTCCACGCATGGTTCTCGGGAGATAGATGTATGTATGCTTGACGCAGTCGATTGCGGTGCAAACCGGCCACCTGCATCGTCGACCTGAGGCTGACTCTTCGCGTCGTCGTGTGGGGTGCGGCGATGTTGAAGACCCGTGGGGGTCCTGAAGCAAGAAGAGGGGGGGGTTGGTTGTTCGGTGAATCAATCGAACGGGAGAGATCTACGAACACGACAACAACAACAACAGACGCGTTCTCAAAAACAGAGCCGAGGTGTTGCACAAAACTTGCAGGAGGGGCGGACGGGGCCAGGAGGGACACCTCTTCCAACCCACACGAAAATCTGTCATTGTGATCTCGAGATACATCGCCCGAAGAAAAACAACTTGCTTTTGGAGAAGAAACCGGAGATCGCCTACTCTAAAACCAAGTGAAAGGGAGTGGGGTCACTTTTGGTGAGGTCACTTTTGGTGGGGTCACGTTTGGTGGGGTCACGTTTGGTGGGGTCAAAATCGAATATGGGTTTGAGAATTTCCGCAACAGAAAACTGAAGCAACTAGGCTTCAGAACTATCTGTGTTCCATTGTGTTACCGTCGGGGTAGATTTTTGGTTCATTCTGTGCGGTCCAAGCCCGCCATTTTCTTGACTGACTCGGGGCATCGTCTCCAGAATAGAAATTGAGGAAACCAAGTCCATTAACATGGATTTGGTTCAGACCTGATGTGTCGAACCTCGAGTGTTTGCGGCATATTCCGTAAGCTCTGTCGCGACGCCATATTTTTGTTTGTTTCCGGAACAGGAGGAAGAGAAGTCTTGGAGGAAGGCACAGGAGGAGCGACGGGTACGAGAGGAGGAGGCGCAGAGACTGGAGCGACAGGCCAAGTAATCCGCTTTGCCTTGCTGTTGGTGTGTTTGGCGTTTTTGTTGGTGTCCACTTGCTTCGGTACTTGACGCTTCTCTGTCCAGTTTCCGTATATTCGCACTTGGCTGAACGTAGATTAGATCTTTGGTTTTGTCATACACGAAGGGTTTGGGCGTTCCATGCCTGAGCATGATACTTGCGCATGACAACAAGGTTTGGTTGTTATACGTGCCGCATGGGGCTTCGTTTTTCGTGGTCGCATTAACTTTTCAGAGTGACTCGCGGTTTCTACCTACCATGCGGACGGCGGTTTCGCTCATCAAGCTGAAGAGCTCCGATCCGGAGTCATCACCCGGAATATCTCTCTTTGCGGGTTTTTTACCGTAAAAGTGCCAAACATCGCACACGCCCTAGACTGACTTCCATACATCGATTGCTCCACTACCAGGAGGGCGTCAACGTCCATAAGGGTAACTTCGGACTTGTAGAGCTTGCCTTGCACGTGCCGGTCGGTTTTGATACCCTTGCGTTTGAGGAGCAACGGGCATTGAACGTGGGTCTAGGGTGTGCGTTAACTCAACACTAGAATATTACCTCAACGCAAGAAGGGTTTAGGATCTCCTTCGCTCAAGTGTACATCGACAAGTACTACTGTTCGCTCACAAGCAAATCTTCGCGCTTCTGCCCGCCAAAAATGAGCCGTGTCAACCGTTCATGTCACCACCACCCGAAGTGGACCCAACGGGAGAATGTCAGTCAAACAATTGCGAGCGTTGCACCGCTGTGACCGGGGAATAACTTTCGGTTCATTCATGGGTTGTGGCCCGGGAACAAACGTTGGCAGGAACAGCAGGGCCCCATTTCACATGCAAGGGCTGTGCGTTAACAAGTCTTCTGTTTTACGCAAACGGTCAACCCCCCCACACCCCTTCTCGCTCCCCTGGTGATGAAAAAACCTCTTCCAACGACGGCACGACGCAGGGCTGCCGAGAGAGAGATTCTCGAGAGAAGGCAGGCCGAGGCTAGGATATTGGCGATGGAGCTACGCCGGAACGAGATGGCCGAGCAAGTCAGGAACAAGGTATGTGCAAGCCTCGCTCGTGGTGGGGTCTGTTGATTCTGTTGGATTCGCCACGAGGAGAGTGGGGTCGATCCGGGTTGGTCGAGCAAGGGGCCAGTCACACGAAACCATCGAGCGCGTGCGTCTCACACGCCGCGTGTTGAGTTGCATCCAAAAACGTGGAATTGTCGTCCACAGCGGTAGGGTTGAGTCGGGAGACATGCAAGGGCAATTTGGTGACAAATTCCCTACGAGAACACTCTGGTGCAGGGCAGCGAGCGGTGGTGACCGCAGAGCTCTCTTGCTCTTACTGGCCTCCACACGCTTTGCATCTCCTGACCCCTAAGACTCTTTTGAGCCCTGTCTGGATGACATTGATCGTGTTTTGGGTGGTTTCCGTACTTACCAACCGCCAAGCGCCCGTTGTTAGCCCACACCCAATCTCAGCGCACGCCATACTCAAACTTTGTCGAACTCCCAAGCAAGCGGTCGTCTTCCGTGCCGTACCCGTGCGGGTTTCCCGAACACAGGCGGCGCGCAAGCGGCTTCAAGAGCAGTTCAGAGCCCAACAAGCGGCACGAGACGCTGCAGGCAGGAAGAAGGATTCGGGGGCTTCGAAGAAGCATGCAGAGTCGCCGTCGATGGCGGACAGGTGGGTGGACTCGTTTTTCGTGTTGCCTTATTTTGGTGTGTTGGTCCGTCGACGTCTCGAAGACGCTGTTTTGCGGAGCTCAGTGGTATTATAGTTGTCACAAAGGTGGGACTTTCGGATAGTCTAGATATTCGTGGAGCCTCGACTCAAGCACCAACCGACCTACCTAAGAAATGCCACGAACAACCAAAGGTGGACTCTGGAAGAAGGCCTGGTGCAGGTCGCCGACGGCGGCAACCACAACAGCGGCACCCTTACCCTGACTCACGGCATCGCCGCCGCCGCTCCCGCCGCCGCGGCGGCGCCGTCGACAGTAGCGGGACCAAAATCTCAAGGCGGCAATAACAAAAGCGAACGAGACAGTGCTAAGGTGTCACAAGCAGAAGCCTCAGCTGCGGCTTCGACGGCAGTCGCAGCGGCAGCGGTCGTGCCACGCGACCCGGCCGACGACCGCTGGGGCATGAACGACGGCGCCGCGGATCTAGCGGAGCGCGGGGTCGAGCTCGAGGGTGGGGGCGCGGGGCTGTACCTGCCGCCGCCGCTGGATTGGCCGCCTGATGTGTCTCTCTTGCCCGGCGGGGCAAAGGGGGGACGGCGGGGCCGCAAACGGAATCGCCAGGCCCGTGCGGAGAAAGAAGAGGCGGAGGTGAGCGAGCGATGAAAATAAAGTGCTTCTCTGTATTTTGGTCATAAAGGAAAAGAAACATTGCGTTCTTTTCGTCGGATTCCGCAACAACAGCTGTAGAAAAAAACTGGTGGTGTTGACACTCACGCCACAAAGAGAGGTTAAGTTGTACCAGTACGTGTCTTCACTAGAGCCGGGTTGAACTTGCAACCTCGCAGTAAATGACCTGCTAGGCGGTATTCTTCGTCCTGAAGCACGGATGTAGAAGTGAGACCATACGCCATGCTCCAGACCGCTCAACCGTTTCCGTCACCCTCTTGTCGCCATCTTCCGACCCCGCCACCTACTTGGACTCAACACGTGAAACACACAGCAGTGGCTGGAGATGGTTTCGAAGCGCGTTCGCAGCACGGTGGTGGGAGCGGCCCCCCCGGGAACCTGGGGGGCAGCGAACGAGGAAGACGGCAACGGTGACGCCGTTGCCATGGATGTTGTCGTGGATGGTGGGAGTCTCAACGCTGTTGGTGCGGTTCGGGTGGGTGGCAGCGAAGGCGGCGCAAATCGTGCACCAAGTGGGGCCGGTTCTGCAACTGGTGCTGTTGCCAATGTTGGGGGCGGGGACGTGGAAGCGGAACTTCGACAACGATTGCTGGCGGCGATGATCGGCAGGTCGAAATCAAAATCAAGATCGAAGTTGAGCGGCAAGGAGAACCCGAGCGTTGTCCCTGCCGGTGCCACGGCCGTCACCGCTGCTTCTGCTGAGAAATCACCAGGGTGAATGAACGCGCTGCAAACTGGCTGCACGTATGACGTAGCACATGGGTCGGTAATCTATGCTCTTTGGTCCAAGTACCTTGTTGGTTCGAAAGTTGTAGTAGCTCTAAGTGGGCAAACGCGTGTAGAAGAGCCATTGCCTATGCATGTAGGAGGAAATGCTTCATGCGTGTGGCTCACGTGTGATGTGCACACCACGGAACATGATAAGTTCGGTTGCCCTCACTTTGGTCCGATCGGGGCTTAGTTGGCATGCCGAACCCGACGGGCGTCCTGGGAATGAATTGGCTCGGAGCGTGGTTGCGAGGGATGCGTCGGGGATCACCCAGCGCGCTGTCGAGTAAGATAAGACTCGAGAGAAAAACAGAACCAAGTTGATAGCGAACCCAGCGGCGGCCTGCCCTAGCAGATCAACTTGCGGCTTGCGTTGGTGTGCCGGAAAGGAAATAGCGTAAACACAGCAAAACCAAACCTGTAAACCGTAGACTTCCCCTTGTAATGGTGCCGGCGTTTGACCCTATACAAGGTGAACTTTGGACTGGAAAGCGCGCTTGCCGCCTTGTGAATGAGCCAATCAATGATGCCGGCAATGGTGTGTCGAGGAACCGATGGATCGGTTACCTTCGCCCTGGTCGGCAACGACAAGCACTAATCTTGTCAACCACGTTGTCCAGACGGAAAACATCACAGATTTGGAAATGTTTTCCAGCCAATTGAAAGGGCAAAAAAGACTGCTTCGTACTTCGTATGTTGTGCCTTGGGTGGCACTGTCAAGTCAGTTCATACGTTTGTTTATTTGGAACACCTTGTCCGAATTCACATCCAAGAACAATTTTTACGAGTTAGACAGGTACAACTCCAACGTAAATTCATTGCATGTAGGGAGCGGATGCTCTTGCGCGAGCGAAAGCACCGGTGGTATATAAACGGAATGTTCTCTCAAAACACCATCACTTGTATTTGCTACATACCCAACACTATTGGGCAGTGCCGGAACGCTAAGGCGCACCGACCCACTGGAAAAACCATCCACTTTACCACGTCCTCCCATAAATCATAGAACCAAGTTCGCTTTTTTTAATGATCGTGATAGATTCCCCCGAATTGCCCCTCACCAGTATTTGTTCTCGAATACCTCCGCATGTCGACCACAACCATCGCAAATCCGCTTACCTAGTCAGTACTCTTGGGCTTTCTAAACAGATCAGAAAAACAGAAAAACAAAAAACGCAACAAAATTGAGCCAAGGACGGCGCCAGCGTAGAGGACGCGGCGCCACAAGCGTTGCACCTGTCAGCAAGGCCTTGGCAGAACATTATTCCACGCAAGAATTGACGAACACAGCATGTATGTGTAGTCAGAACACAACACGGGGGGTATCCGGAGCAGTCCCACCCTACTCTCCACCACACAGCGAAAAACGACGAGAAAAAAACGAGTTCCAGGTGGTTTCGAACGCACGCAATGGACGAAAAGCAACAGGCTACATACCACCAAATGTGACAACGGTTGGCACGGTTGGTTGCAGGGAGCGTCGCGGGTCTGAGAAACAGCCGCGCACGTTATGAGTGACGGACAACGCACAAAATATGCAAGACAAACAAATATATTTCCAAAATTGTATTTTTCTAAGCTAAGCCGCGTTTGTTTTCGAGCGGAAACCAAAGGCAATACCGAAAAACACGAAAGCATAGGCCTCCCGACCGCAGGTGTCTACGCGCTTGACACACACAGAGGGAAATCTAGATACTTTGTGCTTTGAGGTTATTCCATTTCTCTGTTGGCCCACCACTTTTCCGAATGTAAGTGATGGGGCCCTACTCTTCCTTCTACTTTACCCTATCCCTGCGCCGTCTCCCTCTGGGTTTGGATTCAAATATTGCAGTTCTCAGCTCCATGTCCATTTTTTCAAACGCAGCGGTGAGTATTTCGGAGTATTTTTTCACTAAACTAATGTGACCACGCTTCGTTTGAAGAGACTGGGAGAAGCGGCATAAGATAAAACAAATGTTTGGATTATGAAGGACCACGAAACGGACGACGACAGCAACAACACCTCCAATGCCCTTGTCCCAAGTGGTTAACGACGAAGTGGTTACCGACGATCACCCATACCAACAAAACGACACAAACAAAATGAGGCTGCAGCGTCCCACCGTTACACCTGGGGCACCTGACCCAGCGACTTGTGCACTCACCCATACGCCCCCACACTTGGCATGAAGAACACAACACCATGTGTGCGAGACATCAAACGAATGCCTCCGAAGTCCTGTTTACTTGCTCTTTTATTCGAGACGCACCCACCGCCTCAAACGACTCCGTCTCCCTTCCCGCCGAGCCTTCGCCCTCGCCTGGGCTCGACATGAGAGTTTGTTTCACAGGTCCAGCGGCACCATCCTCACTGGCAACGGCGGCAGGCCCGCTTCCCGACTCGTCACGGCTTTCCCCCGGTCCTGCTGGCGTTGCCAGGTCTTCAGAGTTGAATGTTTTCCAGCCTAAAGCCGAAATTGCGGCCATGACCCCGGCGGAAATGTAGAATACGAAACGGTAGTCCACCCAGCCCTCCGCGGGAGGGGATATCGACCACGCGAAAATGTTCGAGTAGCTCGCCGGGCCGACGAAGCGGCCGAGGCTCTCCGACGTCATAAAAAGCCCGCTGAGCTTGCCGCGCTGGTGCTGCGGAACCATGGTCGTCGATGCCACTGTCAACGGGAGCATGATCTGTGGTCGAGGCAGCGCGACGGAGGAGAGAGGGCGGGCCCCGTGGTATACGAAAAGGGGGGGAGGTCGATGCGTCCCAACTTGTCGACGTCGTCCCCGCAGCACTGGCGATATCGCACTGCTGACAACAACTGCGCACAACAACAAGCATTTACACGACCTCCTCAACAGCTCGAGGCACCTCTCGCGCAGGCACAGCAAAGCTTGTAAGGGCCCATATCCGGAATATCCCCCCTACACTACACTGAATAGGGCTCAACGAGACAACTGCGCCCGGCTTTTCGGTTGTGGGACATAGTGTTGGCCTCATTGCTGGCTAGCCTGGTCGTGTCGAAGTGGCCCCAACGAACGCCCAATCAAGCCTCAATCGAAAGAGCAAGCCAAAACGACCACGGTCGCCTTGGCCGAAAACCTTCATTCCCAATCTGGACGATCTCGCGCCCCTCACCGTGGTTATGCTGTAACACGCGAGAAAGTTTGTTAGGGCCGACACGACGAAGAGGCTGCTCTCGTTCCAGCTCAAGAACTTCGCGTTGGGAACGGCGAGAAAAATCGGAACGCCGAGCAGGCATCCGATTCGCTGCCACGTCACGATGCCCATCATTTTGATTAAGCGCGGGTAAATGCCCAACGTACAGATCGCCAAGAGCGTGCCTGTCACGACCAAAACCTGGACGGACATAGACGAGGCGAAAACGACCGTGGACATGAGAAGCGCCAAGCGGAAGTGAAAACGGTACAAAAAATGACGATGTCCACCTGCAGGCGTTTCCAATGTTGACGCGGCTGCATCCTTCTTACGTCGTGAGGCACACGGCACTGCAGACCGCGAGAACATGTATGCACAGACACGTTGCGCGTTTGCCGGGGTGTCAACACCAGGGCCTGTTCGCTGATGTTAAGATAAAAAAACAAAGCGACCTTCTTCACCACCAGGGATACCGAACACCGCGAGCGTGGATACATGCCTTCCCGATCTGCACGGGGGCCCAGCCCAGGCCTCCAACGTCGGTGGTGCTGACCGCCCAGAGAGGATAGACCTCATCGAATCCAATTGATGACATCTGGCGTTGCCGCAGATTGCACAGGAAGCAGGGAGAAGTTGGGCAAACAACCTGAGAACACGGCCGTGGCGGCTAGCACGTTGTGCGCGAGCCGGTCACCCATGTAGGGCGGACCTCTGTTGCTTTCGGACGGGTGGTACATCTGACCCGAAACACACTTCAGAGCCAGCATTAGCCGTCAGGGTTATCAGAAAAGGCGGGTGCAGATGCTGCCAAAGAAAACAAACGAATCGCCTCCATCGTGCGAACGTCGCACACGCTATTTCGCAAAGCACGTATAAACACCACACGCCTTGAGACGACGCTTGACAGGCCGGGGGCCACTTCGCGGTCCATGTCGGTGCGCTGGCTTCACTTTCCCACCCGCTGTGTGTCAAAGTCTCTGTCTCTCCCTCCCTCAAACTTCAAGCCCAACTATACATAGTTCCACCTGAGCCATCGCTGCGATGAAGATGACCATCTTGACGTTCGGTGTCGACAGCAATCCGCCGGCCTCACACATCCCAGGCTCTATTTCTTCGGCGCGGGACGGACCCGGTACGTCTTCTCCTTCGCCTTCGCCGGGACAACTGTTGTCCGTTGGATCGTTCTGGATGCCCCGCTCTCCGTCGTCCTTCAAAGGTTCGTAGCGATTCGTGGCCATCCTGCCTCTCTTTCCCTGGAGCACGAGCTCTGTGCCGGTAGGAGAGGCCGCATCGCGATATTTTGTTGACCTGTAGTTGCTGACAGCGGACTTCCGCTGCTCGCTGTCGGCCTCCTCGTTGTCCTTGAGGGGTTTGTACTCCAGCTGACTCCTGCTGCTTTTTCGTAGCTTCCTCCCGGCCACAGAAATTGCGTTGGCGGCGGGAAAAGCCTCACTGTACACACGCAGGTGCCCGCGCGGGCAGAGATGTCAAGACGAGGGTCACACTCAGGCAGTGCCGCAACGAACTGCGTACGGGCGTGTCACGTCGAGCACTGTACCCCCCACTCCCAATTACCTGGGGATGCGCGGGTCTCTCGAGATGCATGATATACGTCCACATCACCAACAAAAAAAATATATTGTGACTAAAATAGTTTAGCGGCTTCCGTGTCATCGTGTCTTCAGGCATGAAAGACAAAGCGACTTGGCGGATCGTTGACCAACAAGAAATCGGTGGCATCAGCCGTCAAGAAAGCACCAAATTTGTCAAAACAAAACAGCCGCTCACCGGCGAGGGGCAGCTCGGGCGTCTGCCTTGTTGGACGTTCTCGTTTCCGGCAGGAAAACAATAACAAGAGCGAGCATGACGAGAGCAAACCCTGCCCCAACCAGGTTTGGAAGCAGGAAGGGGTACCTGGCGACAGTCACACGGCACGTGGGGCAAGACGTATGTAGAGACAAAGGCTTGAAATAGTGTAGAGTGGCAAGTTGTCGCGAAAGAAGCCACGGTGTCGCCCACGCGTGCGCGCCAGCGATATCGTGCACGAAAAAGCACGGTACATAAAAGGAACGCACAGAAACGGAGGACGACCGAGGACTATGCCAAACCATCAATCACGGACAGTCTCACGCTAACCCCAATGTCAATTTTCTTCGAATGTCAATTCTTCGTGAGATCCGGGCGCTGTAATCTAATTTTGGTCTGTCTCAGTTGGAAGAGTGCACAAGTCGACTGGTCGGATAAAAAAGGCACGTTCTCGCTGAGTTTTCGTGAAGCATTTTTCAAACACGCGGTGTAGATACTCGGAAGGGGCCTACATCTGGAAGAATGGTGTTGCAGGGGGGTCTACGCAAATTACGACAAGAGAGGCGCGCGCACCTTGCGAACACCCCGGTAGCAGAAAACACACCCGGGTAGGTTGACGCAGGCTGCGCCAGCAGACCACCGATCGCTGTGCCCATCACGAGACCCACGCCTTTCGAACCTGCGGGCAAGGAGCAGCGCGCCCAGTGCGCAGAAAAAAGAACCGGGACAAACCGTCGTCGTCGGGTCCGCAAGTTCGGGGCGCACCTGGGGGTGCCTGTGGGCAAGAGAGCCCCTTGCCCAAGCTCGACCAGATTCCATATCATGAGCAGCAACTGCTGTAGTATAAGGAAATAGGTTGCATTGTTTTTTATTAGCTTCGGTTTCGGCAGGGATAACCGAAGTATGGCCTACATAATATATCCCAATCGGTGTTATTTGTACTATTTACAACTCTTTCGGTCATGCCCTGCCGTCAAGCGGAGGCGTGACACCACCACCCGTGGACGTCGTGTTCATGTACGTAGTCCGTGGTTCTTCGTAAACACGGATAAATTCATGCTCCGTCTTATCGATGTGACGACCACGGTTTCAGCAGTACCTCACTCGTCTGGCATCAGTCAGAATTCACCGTTTTTCCCTCACGCTATGTCTGCCCGCCACGCTGCGGCGGTTCGGCTTGACCTCTAGACCAGTAGACACAGACACCGCCGTTGTCTGCAGCCTCAGGGAAACGGCTAAGGCCCCGCACCCTCTCCGAACGTGACCGAGGGGTCTACGAACGCGTGGACGCCGCTGCGACAGAACGTTACGCCCACGCTCACCGGCGATGTAGTTCATTCCCGACACGACGTGCTCAGGCCCGCAAACCTCGCGCGTCAAGGTCCGCACGGCAGGCATGATTCCGTTCGTCAGTCCCAGCACGAACCTGCGAGGTGGGCGAAACAAGCAGCAACGGTGAGAAGCGCCTTCCTCCCCCCGCACTTCATTCTGGTGCGGCGTGACCCGAGGCCGAAACATACGGAGAGGACGAAACAATGCTGGAGGACCTGCCTAAACCTGGGCACCTACGCAATAAGCACACGATTCCACATTCTGCCGGGAAAAAAAGCATTCTGTGCGTTGGGACATCTCCAGGTCGGCTTTGATTCCCCGTCCAATATCGCCACTGGTTGTTCCCTTGGGGTTATTGGTTCGGTTGTCTTGATATACAGAATCGAGACTGCGTCATACCTCGACCCAACGGCCATCGCAAAGCTGGTGGAAAGCCCGAAGACCACGGAGCACGCCATGATGCTCGACAGGCCCACAATCACCACGGGTTTTCGCCCGATTGTGTCCGCCGCATTCCCCCATACATAGGCGGTCAAGAATCGGCCAAACGTGAACGAGCTCGCGACGTAGCCGGCGTAGTAGCCTGTCGGGCAAAAGGAAGACAACCGGCGAGAAACAGCCGCAGCCCAGTGTTAGGAGGCCGGTACTCCCACATACATCAAGCATCGAACCAGATAAATAATCCTTGATAATCAACACTCAGAATCCCAAACCCCGACCAGATACAAAACGATACATCCACATAGGCCACAATGTAGGTCACCCTGGCATGCTACTCAATGGAAAAGCACCGTGCATATCGAACGGCAAGGATGTAAAACGATGCAACGATTACTATGGAATGCGAAGGTACTAAATATAACACCTTGACAAGTATCTACACGTCGCCACTCGCCCGGCAGGTGTAGAAGCCGTCGTTATAAAACAGCAGCGAGAGCCATCCAGACATCGAACAATGAACTCGCCTGACTCGTTGGTAGTGGAGAGACCCAAGAGGTGCATCGTCATCGTCCCCACATACGGGAAGAGGTTGGACAGCGTGTAACCGTTGGTAGTGAGGACCAAAGCCAGAATGACCACCGGGCGGTAGGGAAAGGCGGTGCCCGTGGCGACGGCCCCGGTAGCAGGCGACGCAGCCATCCCTCTCGCTAACCCGTTGCCCGTTCACCTTCCCTTGTTTCGCCCTTCGCGCTGCTGTTCACAACAAACTGCTCTTTGCGAGGCGTGTGGAATTCTGTTACAAACCAACACACAGAAGCAATAAACGGCGGAGGGTCTCCGCATGCAGATCGCACGTACCCCACCATCACGAACAAAGCGTCGTGTCCATGTACGAAGATTGTTCTCAGGAGATACAATATTGTTTTCGGAGCATACCACCGTAGTGATGGAGCGGTGGTTATTTATTGAGAAGGAAAGCCGCACACCAAAACTTCGTACGCATAGTCGAGGCTACAGTCACGATATTAAGTTTCATGGCACGCGAATCTTAGTTAAACGTTACATTGGTACTGCAGTAGTGGCATGGTTCACAAAAGAGCTTGGATCCGATGGCGTATTTCGACTTTGTCGAAAGCAAGGGTTGATTCAGCAAGGCATAGACTAAGAGTTCTCCTAGCTTGCAAACACCACCGGTTGAAGTGAGGTCAGAGCAACGTGGAACACGTACAGCAGTAGGTTGGCGTGCACTAGACCGTGGTAGAGGGTGTATGTTACCGACATTGAGGCCAACCATGGAGACCACCAATTGGGCCAAAGGTGGGTGTCTACATGTATGTACATCTAAGCACTTCGTTACATGCTGGCATGCATACATACGTGTTGCTGTTGGATAGCTGTAGGTGGAAAGCGCTCTGTTCTCCAAATGCTGCTGTGGATCTAGTCTATGTACAACAACAACAGCAGCTATAAATATCAGTGTTGGATATTGGGTATCGAATATCGATACAAAATTGATATATATCGACGATACGCAGTATCGGTATTGCCGGTTTCCACGCCGATATTTGTCGATACGAATCGGTATCGGTATCGATATCGGTATTCGATATTCGATATTTTGGCCCCCTTTTTACAGGGGGGGTCAGTTTCCCAGCTGTCTACCCCCTTTTTTCGCTCCGGCGCCTACGCGCCTACTCCAGTCGCCCCCCACTGCCATCACAACCATACACCACACACACACCAGCCCCTGCCAGCCACACACCACACCAACAGCGCCTGTGTCTCAGCTCCTGAGAACCACATCGGTGTGCAACATGAGTCTTCAAGAATTCGGCTTTGTCGCCGGCGATAGCGTTGCCTCTGCCGAATGAGTAGCAGTCATCCCCGTTGGAGTCAGCTTGCCTCCTTACTACGTAGGTTTGGCGTTTCCCGCAGTTTCAGCAGTAGACCTACTACATTAGTGCGAACAGAGGCCGTACCTCCTGCGGACAATTTATGCTGTGTGAACTTGGTTTTGGGACTTGTAAAACGTAATGGCAGGGTGTGCTTGATTTCATGTCCGAGCACTTGGGTGTGTGATGAATAGAGGTGATGATGTCGTGTTCAAGTTTGTTTGGCAAGCGTTTGATTTTCGCACATAATGTTTTCGCCATGTTTTTTCTTTTGTATCGTTTTGGCTGTTGGGTGTCTAGAGTTGATACTCGCTCGAGGTGCATTGCTGATTGTTGGGCACCCACAACTGGTGGGTGGAATTTTACATGCATAACTTTGAAGGTAGTAAGATAATATAAAACCAAGAAAGTGTGTTCGAGTTTTTTCCGCGTTTTTTTGTCATGAAATCCTGCTCGCAGCCGAGCTTGCACTGATTCGATCGCAACCGTACGGCGGTGTTATAGTGTGTACGTGTATACACACATGCACACTGACTGTAAAATGTAAAATATATCTGGTGGACATAGCTACACAACCAACTTTTTGCCTCTTGCACGATGCAGTTTTGTATGCGCAACATCACATCACAACGTGTGCCTGCTGTTGTTGTTGTGCTCGTGATGTTCAACTGCACACACACACCTGGCACCTGGCAAACACCACTACTTCCATGCCGCCGGACCATGCGCGCACGCCTTGCGCACTGCTGTATACTTCAGATAAGGGTTTGGGTGTGCCAGGGTACGTGTAGTTGCGTAACGCTCGCTCTTCTTGTAACCTGAGGCCTTCAAAACAGCCGTATCGATATCGAGTATCGATACTCGATACGTATCGAGCCATTTTCGGGATACTGTATCGAACAAAATATCGGTATTTGTGTTTTTTTCTCGATACGATGGGCGTATTGCATCGAACCCTTCTGCCCGACCAATATCCAACACTGATAAATATGCACGCGCGACAAGTGCGGACATTTTTTTACGAGTTTGGAACGACGCGCCGAAGAGGAGATCAGCACAACGTAGTGCCTGATGAGCTAAATCAGCGCCCGGCAGTGTACATTCATGCAGTACATGCAGGTATTCACACACCGAGTTCGCAACTCCGCCTTTCTTGCCGACGCTGCCAGGCAGGACGATCTCGCGAGGTGTCTTGAGCGACCAACAGGTAGTAAAAGTGCCACAATATTAAAAGTACAGCACATCTCCACGCTCCCTCAGGGGTCTGAGTGACAAATAAAAACTGCCCACGGACAACACGCACACAATATTGTCCATGCTCCGGTCACTTCTAGTCTACTTCGAAGTTCAGGGATCTCTGTGATGATAATGCTGTGGCTACTGCTGCCTGCTGAACTAGTCTAATGGTACTGCCGTTATCAGTGTAGTTCAGCCAGTGAAGAAATTATTTTAGTCTACTGCTGTATCTGCTCTACAGCATGAGCTCCTGATGTTCAAGCGCTCAGATGTAGCACACACCTGGCCGCCGAGAGAGGAAGAACACAGGTATAGCAAAGGAGAGTGTGCTACAGCAACAATGCAATGTGACCGTGGATGATCGGCTTACAATTGGTTCCTCGGGGGATATGGAAAATTCATCTGCGTGACCCCTCAATGAGAGCTTGAGAGACGGCATGGATGATAAGCCGCGCTGAGGGCGCGCTGAGAGAGGACCGGCAAGAGGCAGAGACAGAGAACACGAGCGAGCGAGGGGTGGCGGCGGGGGGGGTGAGGGGCAAAGTGAGACACATCTTACACCCACACTCAAGCGTGGTCGTTTGTTGCTCATTGGGTGACACTCTTGTTTCGCCGCTGGCTTCTCTGTGTTGCGAACGCCCCGACGTCAAATGCGGTCTCCACCGGCAGATATCGGACACAAGGCCTACTGCATCTTCTTCCTCCAGGTGTGCACGTGTAGCGTCATCTCCCCCGAGAGAGTTTCTCCGCTGAAGTTTTTGTATCGACGACAACGCCAGAAATAGTAGGACAAGTCAAGGCAAATACTACTCTGCTGTACTGTGTTAGTACATAGAGACTGCACTTGGTGTACAGCCCGGCCTACGGGTACATTATACTATGCCTCGCATCTGACCTGCCTACTGCCTACACGATGTACTTTGTTGTAGGCTATCTTTTTTCATTCCAGAGCGCAGCATATATAGACTTCACCTCCGGGATTAACTTCTACTAAATTAGGTACTGCTGAAGTATGCCGTTCCTCCTCTATTTCTCTTTGCGCAAGCTGAAACGACTGCGGTGGTCGAACGGCTGTTACATCCACAAAGAGTATCCAGGTCCAAAATATGACGGAGATTTGGACATGCGTCTCAATATCTAGCGCAATAGAGCTATACGGTAGGTTGCATATGTACAATAGTGCAGCACCCCTTATGCATACGAGATTTTGAACAGTTCATTTCGTTGCTCGCAATCATATCCGTGCAGAGTGCAGAAGGAACCCGTACATGGTAGTAGTTACCCTCATATGCAAGTTGACGTGGTGGATACAACGGTTTTGCGGCGCACGCCATCATGCTGAGTGAAGCGAGTCACAAGACGAATGGCACTAGGCGTTGGGATTGTTGCTTGTTATATGCCGTGTATCGTTGTGTTTCCCGAGACATAAAACGAGCGCTGGATTCTCCAAACTTACAGAAATGCATGGCACGGAGTTCCACCGCTGCCCGGCTATTATTGCTCCCCAAACGCCTCCTGCAACGAGCACACAGCAGTCACCTCTCACAAAAGATTATGTTTGACTGATTGCCTGATTGCTCTATAGTACCACCTAGTGTGAAAAGCGCGGCTGAACGTCCATACGCATATATGTACGCGTATTAGTCTTGTGTACGCAAATAGTTTTGTACGGCCTTGCTTGATGAACCAGCGGCGACAGAGGAGTAGTCGAAAAAGAAACATGATGAACAGTTTGCCAACCACGTGACACATGTGCATATTGTTAAACTGTTTGTCTATTTTCCCAAAGTGTTCGAAACGTTGCCAGCCCCCACCCCGCCCACCCCCCCCATGTACCGCGCAGGGCGTTGGACAGTTGTTCCCATGGAACGTTTTCATCAATGCGGAGGACTACTTTCGCAGACGTCTCTGCGGCTCCTCGTTCGAGAATAACTTCGAGAATTTCTTTTCCGTCGGATATAACCTCGCTGCCATCTTGGGTCTGCTGCTCGCTCTAAGGTCAGCCAGCTCGTTGATTTCACCGAGATTTTTGTGCCTGCAATTTTAAGGGTCGTTGTCGATGAAGAACATGACTGCTGTAGGGCAAAGGAGAACCCCCGAGCTGTTGCCATTAGTGGAGTACGACAAGTTGGTTTGATGAGTTTTCTTTTCATCGGTGGGATACCATAAATTTGTGCGGGTGCTTTGTCGTGTCTAAGCACAGTTCGCGTTCAGCAATGACCTCTTTCTAGGGGACACCTCGTTCTAGTCGTCGTCTCAGTGTCAGACTTCGTACCATTTGTTTCGGGCTATGAACAACCAGAGCGCAGTATTGTTCCTCTTTGTTGGCATTGGGATTTTCCGGTTGTCAAGCGCGTGTGCCGGACCTCCAAACAAATGGCCATCTTCCCTCCCTCTTCTTCTCTTGGAAGATATGTCGCGAGGCCCGTTCGGTAGTACCCTGTATTTCCTGTTCCTGCGCTCCGTTGCCGTTCACCTCACGGATTTAATCCATTAGTGAACATGTGTTAGGGCACCAACATGTGGCCGAGACAGAGCCCCTTCCACTAGACCCGACAGCACCCTGAGCTTTGTGTTGTGGTGCCTCCTTGGTGCCTAGTTCGTGCTTCTGGATGAAAGGACAGCTCTGGCGACATCATCATTCTCCACGACGGGCATGTTTTTTGTTCGCAACCGAGATCGAATTTGTTTTCTCGCGCCCCTGCCCTCTCCACACCACTATCACTCATTGTTGTGGGTGTTCAGTGCCCCCAGCAACAATGTTGGTTGATATTTACGATGGATTCGTACAGAGTCTCTGTATATATTGCATGCCGTAGGTCCATTGTTTCCAATACATACATCACTTCCTTCTCTGTGAAGCAATGTTTTGACGTCTTTGAAAATTGGAAATTGGCGACTTTTTAGATTCGGGCGAGCATACGAATCATCCCCGTCCTGTCGCTCAGCGACATTTTCTGTTCAAGAAGGGTTTGAAAGACAATCGCGAAGCAACTTGCGCCTGCACCCATGACGCAACCCAAAAGGCTGGTGCCCAAGATATTTTCCCTTCTCGCCCAGCGAAATCCATAAACGATTCATCAAAGCGTTCTTCTCAACACTCCTAAGGGTAGGTACCTCAACCCGTGGTGGCCTGAGAGTAACTACTCTCATCTGGCGTTAGCAGCTCCTTTGTCAAAGAACCTGTTTCTCTCCCCGCATCTCTCCACATACCAATGTCCGACACAACGACACCGATGTCCCAGTCGCCACCTTCATCGAGGTGATATATTGTATATGGTCCATGCGGTGTCGTTGTGGTCGGACATTGATGTGGGGTCCGGCCACAACAACACCGACATGGACTACACGTAATGTACCACCTCGATGACAGTAGTGGCGACATCCACCTCGATGCAGTCTCCACCGTCGTCGAAGTGGTTTTGTGGTCATATCTGTGTCGTTGTGGTCGGACATGGGCGTGTGGAGAGATGCGGCGAGAGAAGACAGATTCTTTGACAAGAGTGCTGCTGACGCCAGGTACTCTCAGGCCAATGTTGATCCCTCGACCGCCTGTGAGTAAGACATAACCGTGTTGCGTTGATGGGCACCTTTTTCCGAACACGTATCCGTGACAAGGCTTTTGTTTTGTCACTCCATATCGATGGTCGCTGTTTTGAAATGTGCCATGACTCGCGTGCACAGGTATCAAGAGCAGTGGGACCTTACGGGCCGCATCATGGGATCCCTGGCGGTATCTTTGGGAACGTTTGTTGCGTGCGGCATCTTCGTGTTGGCGGAAGGAGTCAACGGCACGCTCCTGTTTTTCTGTACGATGGGCCTCATCGTAGTGTCTGGCCTGTGTACTGCCGTCTTGCAGGTGAGATTCAGACAAGTACCGGTTCAATCTTGTGCATGAACACGCACAATAATATATCTGTATTTGGACCCCACCTGTTGTGTTTTGAGGGACAGGTCTAGTCGATCATGTAAAAACGGGGATAATGTCGAAACCCCAGTTGTTGTGACCATATTTTGACACCTTATGGCGCTCACAAGGCTCTGTGGGCCACATGCGTCATGCTTAGGCGTTTTCCACGCCAAAATTTAGCCAGCTGCAGCTCTTTTGAAGGTGGCCGAGGGACAGCTACGTTATTTTTTTGGCGTTCTTGTGTCATAACCAGCTGTCCACATTTTGCGTGCACCCCACCGTCGACGTGCAGGGCGGTATTTTCGCGATGGCGAGCGCTTTCCCGCCGCGGTACACCCAGGCAATGATGGCTGGTCAAGGTCTGGCAGGTCTTGCAGTTGCTCTGGCTGGACTGTTCACCACATTGGCCGGCCCTGACGATGAGTCGTGCATTGTAGACCTTTATGACACAATCGCTACTGTCCGTGACGGCGGTGATACCGGCGGCAGTGCTGACGTTTTGACAGAGGGCCACCTGGCGCGACAGGCGACATATCAAAGAGCATCGGATGTGGACCCATTGTTGGGGTCTTCCTGTGCAGCATACGCGAGGGACTGGAGCACCTTTGTTTACTTCGGCATCGCCGTTATGGTGCTCTTGGGGTGTATATTGACCTACCCCCTGCTAAGGCGTCTACCATTTGCGTCTTTTTACATCAACACGGCCGTCGGCCTCGGCGACGGTTGCGACGAAGGCGGCGTTTCTGTGGGGCGTGTCCGCGAAGGGAACCCGGACGGGGGAGGTGCCGACGACGACGGGTGGCTTGGCGTAGGGCGTTCAGCCGTAACTTCTACGACCACCAGCCCGACCGGATCTTCCATGTATAGACGCCTGGTCGACAAACCGTTGTCGGACTGCACCATGCATGATGCCGAGGGAGAAAGAGACGGAGCGCAGAAGAGAGAATCTGCAACAATCGTAAATGGTGGCAGCTATGTTGGGAGCGATACTCCAGTGGACGGGCTCCGGTCCAGGCTGGCGCCAATCTCGTCGTACGCGTTCGCAGTGTTTCTGGTCTTCACGGTGACGTTGTCTATTTTCCCGGGTGCCACGTCGGATATAGTGTCCTCCCAGCGGTGCCAATCAGGACGGTCGCGCTTCTTCGCGGGGGACGTCTTCGTCATGTTCTCGTTCGTTTCTTTCAATGCATTCGACCTGCTGGGTAGGTTAGTGGCCGGCCTCGCGGTTGCCTTGCCGTACGCCTGGCTGCCGACCGCCTCTGTCTCGCGGCTTATGTTCGTTCCGCTCATGCTGGCTTGTAGATCGGAGCACTCTCGGTTTCGCGACTGGCTCTCGGCTGACGTGTTCCCGTTGACCCTCATGCCCGTCTTCGCCTTCACGAACGGGTACGTGGGGAGCCTGAGTATGATGGCCGGTTCACAACTAGGGGCGTGGGCGGGAACGGCCATGGTGCTGTTTCTCAGCGGAGGGCTGTTGGCTGGGTCCCTGTTGTCTTTCTTGGTGTTGTTTGCAAGCACAGAGTAATCACGAGTACAAACGGCTATCATAGATCAATAGCGAAAGGGTTGCAGCTGGTGAGCGTTTATTGCGTTCTGTAAATTTTATTCTGTAAATTCGCCTGCATTCATTCCAACAATCGTGCGAGTACAGAGGTAGTCACTCACTCGCTTTACATTGGATGCTCTTTTCGAGAGGAAGCTCAAAACCTTCCCGTGCCGCTACCACTGGAGAACATGCTGTATTTTAGTGAGCCTCAAATCGAATAGCGTGCATTCTGACAAGCGGGCCGCTGTGTGGCATGACCGGATGCAAGACAGCAACCACAGCAGTGGCGAGGTTGACGCTAGAGCCTTGGACGCCCACCGCTAGTGGTCGAACTATTGTACTTTGTTTCCATTTTTTTCCCGCCCTCTTCTCTTTTTCATCCAGCAAGCTCGTGGAAGACTCGCAAACGAAGCACCGTTGTTCGACACACCACCGCTTTCCCCTGAACGCATGGCGAACTGTCCGCGTGCTCTTGCAATACCACACAGTGGTGCGAAGAAGGTTATGTACTCCATCGATTTGGGAAAGCCAAAGCACGCACCTCTTCCCACAAAAGTAAACAGCGATTCACACCATCCTCTGTACAACTAACAACAACGTCGTCGCGCCCTCTAAAGTGTGTCACTTGCCGCCTGGACGCCGGAGAAGACGATCGCATCGTTCTGTGTGTGAGCGCGCCAAACTCACTCTGGGACGTCGAGCGCCGGCGCGCGTGAGGAAAGTACAAACCCAGCTAAGCACCTGAAACTCGTTTTGAACTTAAAACACCAGGCACCTCTCTCACTGTAATGGTGTGAAGAAGGCCATACCAACACCGTCCGCTAACCTCTCAGAAAATCAAGAAAGCACTCCGTCCCCCAGGGCTTCACAGCATGTCCTGTACAACGCGTTCTTGTCGCATCCTCTTGAGAGTCTCACTTGCCGCCTAGACGTCGGAGAATACAATCGCATCTTCCTGGGGAAGGTTTTCTTGGGCGCTCGGGCCAAACGCACTCTGAGATGTCGAGCGAGGGCACGCGCGAGGAAAGTACAAACCCACCACAATTTTTTCACTGCAAATTTTAACAACTCAGAAACACCAGGCACCTCGTCACAGTAGTAATTGGTGTGAAGAAGGCCATACCAAACACCGTCCGTCAACCTCTAAGAAAGCCAAGAAAACACTTCGTCCCCCAGGGCTTCATAACATGTTCTGTTCAAATTGTTCCTGTCGTATTCTCTAAGAGTCTCAATTGCCGCCTACACGTCGGAGAATACAATCGCATCTTCCCGGGGAGGTTTTCTTGGGCGCTCGGGCCAAACGCACTTTGGGACGTCGAGCGAGGGCACGCGCGGGGAAAGTGCAAACCCAGCTATACACCTGAAATTTTCAACAACAAATTAAAAGCACCAGGCATCTCTCTCACAGTAGTAGTGTGAAGAAGGCCATAAAAATACCGTCCGTCAAACCTCTCAGAAAGCCAGGTCACTCCGTCCCCCAGGGCTTCGCAACATGTCCTGTACAACTTGTTCTTGTCGCATCCTGTAAAAGAGTCTCACTTGCCACCTAGACGTCAGAGGATAAAATCAATCGTTTCTTGCCGGGGAAGGTTTTTCTTGGGCGCGTGGGCCAACACGCACTTCGGGACGTCGGGCGAGGGCGCGCGAGAGGAAAGAGAAAACCCAGCTAACACCTGAAGTTCGTTGTAAAAAAATACTTACAATACCATACTTCATGAACATGTGGTGTCAGCTCAGCGTATGTGTCATTGTAACTCGTACTCACCTCGAGTGAATAAATACCGCTTTTGCATTCCCAGCTTTAGTCTAACCCCTGAAAAAACTACTCTATTGAACTTGAGTAAGACGGACAACACGATATTTCACAACTGCTGTCCCAGACTAGATGGCCAAAGATCTCGCCGTTGTCGCAGTTTGTTCGTCTTTCTCAGTCAGACGGCCGACAGATCCCGCCTTCGAGGTCTGTTGTCCACCTTGCTTGTCGCCATGGTGTCCCCGGGGAGAATTTGGCTGCTGGTATTCGTGATGTCAGCGCTCGATACCGAAACTGACTCATATTCCGCGCCATGTCTGTCTTCAATCGGGATCGTCAACGCCTCCAGCGTCAACACTTTCCGCCCTAGCACGAACATCACGCTCATGAGCACCATTTCTATCACGAAAACCGCATGATAGTCCAGGAGCACGTTGCTGCTTTGTAGGGACCACGCCAGCAGAGTGCAGAGCCCTGAGAAAAAGTGCCAGAACAAATTCATTGAATATACAAGGACGAGTTCTACAATAGTTCCTGTGTGTCGTGCGCCGATATTGACACGACACACATTAACGACGTATGCAAGAGTAGCGCAAACTTATAGAAGTATATTGCAAGTAAATGCTGAAAAAAAAATTAACTTTGATCACCTGCTGGACCTATGACCCTGCCGAAGGAGCTCGCAACCGCAAATATTCCCCCGATCTTTCCCCGCATTGGAACTGGGACGGCGTTCGCCGAGGCGAGGTTCATCGCGGTCTCTACCTGTTGACAAAAACGTCAGCAGACGCCAGCATAGGATTTTCGGTGGGAAGTTGCTCATAAACCGCAGGTCATAGAAATGGGCGAGAACGGGGTGGGAAATGATTGAAAACTAAACAAAAACAGTCGGGGGAGTCTAAACGTGTGAAGCATCGTTTCGAGGCGGTGGAAATCATACAAACAAACGTGGTAATCAGTGACAAGAGCAACATGTCGCCGTGCCAGACATGCGAGACTATTAATAGTGTAGATTTCGACACCAACCGAACCCTTCAGGTCAGTCAATGGCACGATCTGGTACAAACGGCACCTTGGATTCGGTCTACGCCTATGGTTTGAAACACGGCCTATCCCTACGTCAACCATTGAGATATGTTCGAGTCCTACAGAGTACCGTATCGCACCACAGATATGCACGACCCAAGGAAGATGACGATGGCAGCTCCCACCACGCACGACCAATTCTCGCTCCAGTTGGCGCGCTGAATGTCGGGGACGAAAATAAAACTCGCAGCGGCCAGCACGCCGGAGCCCCGTAGCAGCCAAACAATTCCTATCGTTTTACAGAGCGCCGGGTACACGAAGAACTGGAAGAGCAATTGCCCGACGCCTGACCAACCGAGGACCTGCGCGTTCGCGCGTACAGCCATACGCGGGGAAAAATTGTCAACAAGGTGGATGGAGGTGAAAACAAGGTGTTAGCTCCATTTTCGATACTGCACGACTACAGTAAGCCGGTCGTAGGTGAGGAATGCGTGCAGTTCTCAGAGCGCCAAAAACAACATCTACACCCCCTACGCTCTTGGCACATCGTGGACAAAATCGCAGTCAAAGCGGGTGAAACCATCTACCGGATCCTGCCTCACCCAGAAACATGTAGGAAGGCATTTCAACGCATGTTCAGCACGATACTTGAAGCCAATTCATCCATGCGAAAATCCATGCGAAATAAAGCTTGATGGGTAAAACCTCGTTCGTCAGCTGGCTGCGAGAGTGGTCACGACAAAGGCATACACGTCTTCCGGTTTCTTGCGCGTGTTGCAACTGCTCACTTTGCCGATCTTGGGCACTGGCCATTCCAAGCCTCCCGAGTCCTTGCTCGCCAGCAGCCAGAGCGGATACATCTGGACGAAGCCCGCGTCCATCATCTAGATAAGAAAAAGGGACGGGAATGCTGCGCGTGTGAAGAACGGCGGCCGGGTTCACTCACCCTGCCACAGGAGCAGCAATTCTGAACCAGGATTGAAATGAAAAACATTCCGTGTACTGCGATCTTATTGGTCACCGGACGGAACATCTATTGCCTGGAAGAAGCACTCAGTGCGTCACTCCTCAGCCAGTGATGAGTGTGTTGTTTGGTGCCCTCACCGAAACCAAGCACTGCATCAGCACCAGCAAGCGAACACGCCGAGGAGTCAGCAGTCCGCCCGGCCCGCATAGTGAGGATTCACCGTCACGCGCGGTGCTTCCGGACCGCCGATGATGTCGCGGCGAAGCGTCATCACCACACTCCTCCTCCGCCGAATAGTTGCTGATGTTGCGGCGGTGTCCTTTCTTGTCCAAAAGCGGGACTTTGACTTTCCCTCTGCGTGAAATGCTGTCGTTGCTGCTGCTGCTGCTGCTGCTGCTGCTGCTGCCGTCGCTTCTACAAATTCCTCGCCCTGCAGCTGCAGCCTGTGAAGATCCTACAGCAGAAAGCTTTCCAACGCTGCAATGATCTTGTGGGGGACATTCATCTTCCGATGAATGTATCGTTTTCTCCGGAGAATCAACAAGCACGATGCCACCGCCATCGCCGGCAACAGCAGCAGTGTCTTGTGCATATCTGGAGTGCACAACACACACGCGCATGGAGTTTTTACAGGACGGGGGTATCAGACTGAGGGACGAAAATCATTGCGGTCCCCCTCTTCCTTCGTGTGTCCAACATATTGTAAGACGGTAACCTGAACCAATTTACTGCCAAGCAGCCTACATCACCAAGCGTCACGCAAATCGATTGTGACGTGGCTTTGATAAAATCGTGGCCACGTACTTCGATGGTGTCAACATCAGCTCACTGATATAGCCCCAACAGCCCTCGGAGGTTAAGTTATTGCTGATATAGCCCCCACAGCCCTCGGAGGTTAACTTATTGCCAGGTTGAAAACGCGCTTCAGCGCACAACATGCAGTTCCATCTCGCCTGTTTTCCGAAGTATGCACATCGTCCTGCTGCCCCCGTCTCGCTGTGTTGAGGGTCTCGGGTAAGACCAGAAGGGCGAGAGGAAGAGCCGCGAACGCTAAGAAGGCCACCGCCAGATTCGGTAACAGGAACGGATACCTATGCGAGAGGGCGAAGGGTTTGCACGTGCAGACAGGGTGGAAACGAGGTACAGGACTGAGCGAGAAATGTCATCAAAATTCTTCCAAATGTAACCATGTTGGATCCGCGTTGAATATCTAGATCCCCAAAGACAACCGGTTGAAATAGAATGCCTGTGCCCAGGAATTGTGAGCGGTAGGATGTCACAGACGGCTGCAGTACGGCTCTAATCATGCATGCATACCAATTCAGCAAGCAGTACATCAACTAGTGAGTTTGGTGAAATTTTGACGGGTTCCACCGTTCCCCCGGCGGCGGAAGTCACCGCGCAGCGAACACTCTGTTTCACATCCAGCTTCAAATCGTTACAATACCGAAACCCCTACTGCTACAGTTACTGGATATCAATGTGGATGAGCTGCCGATGACCAGCGGAATGAAATTGATACGCAGGGGACGGGGTCTCCAAGTGTTGGTCACGCATCTGCACGGTCATACCTGGCGAAGAATCCTGTTGACGAGAAGCTGGACGGGTGAAAAATGCTTGGCTGCGCGAGCTGACCTCCGATTGTTGGACCAATTATGGATCCGATGGCTCTTGACCCTTTCTCGCACAAGGTTGAGAAAACAACATTCGGCCGAGGCAGCGAGGAGAAGGAAAGCAACAGGTTGTCAAAAGCGGGATGGTGTTCTTCACCTGCCACAACGTACACCTGATACAGTACCAAACGCTCTAGCATCTTTTACGATTTCATGTTATCAGTCCGCAGTTTCCTCAGCCCTGCTTGTACATTTTCTATTTTCCCTTTTTCGATGCACACGAATATCCTTGCTCACTGGTTCTACCTTCCGTGCTGCTACGATCTTGGGGCAAGACAGGCGCAAATTCCTCTACGGTGGATGCCATCACTCTTGTCGAGAGAACGATGCAACAGCCCTTTTTCCGTTCGCCAACACTAGAGAAAAAACATTCAATACTCACGAGCAAGAGCCAACCGTTTTTGACACAACGGATTTTGAACCCTGCACTGCTGTTGAAGGTTCTTTGAAACCTTTTGAGACCACGATTGGTACTTGAAACGCCTGCCTGACGCTATTCCCAGACGGGCCACAAAGCAAGGTATGAAAGTGTTCACACGCGCGGGTGGACACACACAAGCGGCTCTTCTTACCGGGGAGCAATGCTATACCAACGACAGACTTATCCGGCCCAAGGAGCTCGACGGCCATGATCCTTGCCACGGGAATGATGCTATTTGCCAGCCCGAAGAGAAACCTGCGTGCGTGGCGCCGCGTTTAAGGTATATACGTGCCGCCTATATCACGGGTGGTGCAGCCGTGAAAAACATGAATACATTGCTTTGGAGAACTGCATACGAAACAGTTCAGTACCCACCACCTGGGAACATTCCGTCAAATAGTTGAAAACTGCGCACCATCTCAACCATCGTAAGCGAATGAAACCCAGCCAAAGTACTATAGGCTTCAAACTCAGGCATAGCCTTGGCAACCCTTGACCTTCGGTGTTCATTCAGGCTGTACGTAGACAACGCTGCACTGACCATTTAAGGGGCTGTGCAAACGAACTGTATGCATAGCATCAGACACGGTGCCAGACCGCGCGCCGCCTACATGTGCAACGTAGTAGAAGATAAAACATGGAGACCACTTCAATGCCGAGGCGACGGTGTCACGACAAGTCCTGACTGACAGTGAGCGAGCATGGAGCTTCTTGCACTCTTCGTGGTATCATCCCAAAAACATCATAAAAAATACCTTGAGATCATGGCCGCAGCCAAGGTTTCCGACATTCCAAAGGCAATCGAGAACAAGCCCGTCCCACATACGCCAATCAGCATGACCGGTTTCCGCCCGAATCGGTCAGCGAATATTCCCCACGGGTAGCTTGAGAGGAGACCGCCGACTGTGTATGAGATCAGCAACCAACTCGAGTAGTAGCCTGGTGTATTGAAAACAAAATAGTTTGCCGTCAGCCGAGAGAGGGTGCGGAAAAATGAGAAACGAATCGAATGGTTGACGTGTTTTGGTGTGTTTCCTCGGGGCAAGCCCCGCATCATAGTATGCAGGCAGCGCTCCGCCCCCCGTCGGGCTGTTGGGAGCTACACAGAGGAAGGAAAGTCTGGGACGAAGCAGATTGATCCAGGGCACATCCTGTGTTACTTGATAATTGCAGCTCGACGAGGGACAAAATTGGGTCTTACGCCGATCCTGCGTGTGCGGGTGTTTCATTCTTTTTGGCCCCGTCGACCGCGCTAACCGACCGACCAATGAAAACACGCTAAATCTTAGTGCAGCGCCAAAACGGAAAATAACTCGAGGTCATGATCTGGGATCCCGTGAGAGGGGGGTCACAGGGAAGGCTAGGCTGTTGTCCGGATTCAAGCTACATAGTAAAAGCGGTGACCACATGAAGATACATAATGCTGCTCGGGACCACAGAGACGACGGTTGGTTATTATGTTGTGGCGCAACCCATTGCTATACGTATCCGAAGCGTGTCTATCTGTGGATAAAGATGAATATTCGTCGTATTTTTTTAAGGGAAAAAAACAAAAACAGAAACAAAAGACTATAGAGTCTATGCATACAGAAAAGACACGCACGACAGCTACCAAACAAACTGTCTTGTTGAGTCTGTTACCCACGGAGGAGATTCCGCTGAGGTCTCCTTGGGAAATCGTAGAAACTAGGTGAAGCTACCGCTGATGCATTCATTCCTAATCTAGACTAGTCTACACACACACGTTGAACTTGATTCAATATAATGCATGGATGGAGATTCGGTGTGTCAACTTCTAATTTTTAATTAAGAAAATCAAGAAATAAAAAACTCTTCAACTGCTGCAACATACGGTACATGTAATGGTCAATGTACTGCTGTATGTATGTTCGCGCGCGTTTCCATACCATCCCCCATCTGCACCTTTTTTTTCGTTCGTCACACGTTTTCTAATCTTAATTTTGGATGTCTGCTGTGCGCATCTGCTGCAAAGATGTAACCATACCAGTTTATGGAGGATTGTTGTACCTGCAACCATGTGCAAAGAGCCAGTAGCCCCCGCCAACGGGATTCAAAGCAGATACGCATGTGTTGCAGAGCGCACGTAGCACCGCAAGCATGCTGCAGTAGCCACAACAGAGCTACGCAGTACATACATTCAGACGTGAGGGAGCAGCAGCGACAACAGCAGTACAAAAGTGAGTACAGGTATGTAAATGTGATGCCAATTAATTCTTCAACGCAGCGGGCCTTTTTGCTCTTTTCCTCACCCGCCATGTCCGCAGAAGCCAGCCCCACCAGTTGCTGGACATAGACGCCAATGTAGGTTGAGAGGCTGGTGACCGCGACTGTTTGTGCCAGGAGGCAAGATGAGATGGCTACCATCGACCAAACCAAGCTTGGTCCAAGATTGCCCTGGCGCCATGTCATCCTCTTTTCGTCTTGCCGCAGCTCTTGGAAAAGTCAGCTAAATTTACAACCCGTTTCGCTTTGCTGGGGGATGCTGACAATCAACCTGACTGGAGAAGCAGCCTTCAGCGGCTGAAGCTCTGCGCAACCTGTGCAAAATAGCCGGTGTGCTTGCGTGTTGGCATGTGGGACCGGGACACCGGGACACCGGGGCTGCTGTGAAAGCCATGCTCAACCATGCTCGTGAAAGGGATTCTGTTCTTGGCGAAAAAAAAAAAGAAATGCGGGGGAACTGACGGAGTTTGCAGGTGGGGCCCCGTGGATTGTTCGGGGGTAGGGAGCGCCTTGCTTGGATCCAAGATACAGGGACATCGATGCCTAACATCATTGGACTGCCGAGGGCAGGAGGAGAGGCCAATACGAGACAAGGGTGTGCGATGTCCGGTGGCAATGCGGAGCTGCTCGAGGTTCAAGAGAAGCTCAAGGCCCTCAATGCCGACTATGACAAGCTCAACGACGAGTGGACAGGCAGGCTGGCCGCTCAGAATGATGAGTTTCAACGCGAGAAACACGTGAGGATCTCGATCCGCACATCCGCACCGTAACACACTAGACTACGTAGAGAGGGCATGTTATACGTGTACATATACGAGAACTCATAGCGCACCCGCGTGTATTCTGTAGGACGGGTGACATGGTCGATTATCTCGGTTATCTCCAACAACTTTAGTCTGTGGCTGGGGCGGGCACGCGCCGGTAGCAGTCTCGTGAGCAAATTTGAACAGAACGACGAGCGTAGAAATCTACAGCAGCAGTAGTCAAGACATTCGACAATAGCCTACAATAGACTATACGCCGTAGTAGCACCGCCGCGCCCCATCGTTCATCCGTCGTCGGGATGGGTTGGGTCAGGTCGTTCAGGCGGCCTTGGGCCGCCTTCGTCGATCGCGCCGCCGTCGCTCTGTTGTTCGTCGCCGTCGGACGCCCTCGCCCCTGTGTGTGCTTACGAGTCCAGTGTCGAGTGTATTGTGCCGCAGTACAGGAAATCCGGAGATAGAAACCTGTGCGTTGTTTACTCAAGGTGTACTTAGGTCGTGGGACGCTGTTGCAAGTACACAACAGCAGATATCAGTGCGATGTGAAGATTATTGAGATCCACTAAGCAACGCCGGCTACAACCGCGCCCGTTGTACGTCACAGGACCTCCTTCAAGACTCCTCAGCAAGGCTTCAAGCGGCGAAGGAGCATGCCGACGCCAAGAATGCGGAAATTGTTTCGGAGCTCGACAAGTTTCGGAGGGCATTCACGGGTGATCCGCTGGGGTGGGCGGCGGCAACCGATGAGCAGGGCAAGCCGTACTACTACAACTCGGAGACCGGTGCGTGAGGTTCAGACGACTTGGCCTAGGGTGATGCAAATCGGCGATTTAAAGTTGGATTCCAATTTCCTCAGAAACAAGACGTACGTGCTAGACAAGAAGAAATATTTCAGAGCGAAGATGGTTATTGAGTACGCACCGCTCGCGTACTGTAGTAGCCCACAGGGTACTTCTCAAGGAGAGGTACAGCTACAGCGTCGCGCTCCAACTGTCATACCAGAGGGGCAGGTCCAGCGCGCAGCGGATTTGAAGAGAGCAGTCGGCGCAAACCACGCTTACTGCCTAAATTGGTTTATGGCCGTTCGATATACTTGATCAGGGGAATCGGACTACGACAAGCCGCGCATTCTAGAGATTGCGGAAGTTATGAACAACATCGACTCCCTCGACGAGGGCAAGAAGAAGCAAGAAAAGGCCATTAAGAAGGGAAAAGAGGCCGAGCTCCAAGCTCGAAAGCTCGAGGTGTCCCTCAATGAAATCAGGTGTGAGAACGAGCGATTCCTTTTGGAAGCCAACGGCAGCATTTCCATACCCCTTCTGGCGGCATTGAGAACTGCAGACACGTTCAGGTGGTCGGGTGGAATCTACTATGGACGATTCGGCTCTTGGATGCTGTTCAGCCATTGTTGCTTGGCGTAGAAAAGTGATGTACGGCTTCCCCAGAAGACATGCGCTTTTCTTCACCGAGGATTCGTTTTTCCGTAACTGGCATATCAACAGGGGTGAGGCGGCGGCACTGCGGAAGACGAAGAAGGAATGGGAGGCGTGCGGCACGACCGTTACCTCTCTTTGCGAGATGATGTCTGCCGCAATGGATGAAACTGATTCTCGCGTCACAAAGGTGGAATTGCCAAAGTTGTGTTAGTGTAGGCGGGACGTGTGAACGGTGTTTGCTGATGCCCAGCACCGGATGGGAAGGGATTAATCACCTTCATCATGTACAATAACATTTGACGAAGGTGCAGTTCAACCTACAATGTTGCCTTCGTGTCGAACAGTACGCGCTATATATGAGAATGCCGTAGGGTTCACATAAAAGGGGGACGCTCATTCACACACATGGCTCCGGCTCCGAATTCTGTCGGCCGCCCTGCGGTGCCAATTTCCTTTGTGCGTATTCTCAAGGTGGAAGAGGGGGTACGGGTGGTCACTAAAGCCAACGAAGCGGTGAAGGTTGCGACGAAGAAAATCGAACAGCAAAACCGAGAACTGTTTGAACGAGGCCTCAGGATAGAACAACTGACGCGAGATCTGGCGACGGCAGGCGTGGAAGTTGAACAAACCCGAGACAGGGCGAACAAACTGGAAGAGAGGTTCACTCAGGTGACAGTGGACATCGTCAAGGGAATCTGATACAGAGTAGAACATGGCTGGCGGCTGGCTACTTGTGTCCTGTGTGTGCTCATCGAATACGACGGTGCATGTCATGAACTTGTTTCTAGCGTAGGCCGGCCTCTCTGTCTGTCTGCCTGTGTCGGGCTGTCGGTCTTACCTGTCTGTGTGCTCGTTTGTTTGCCTCATCGTCCTCTCGCCTACCTCCATCTTCGGCTGCCGCAGGCTGTTGAAGAACGCGTGGATGAGGTGAAGCTTCCCTTGGAAGACGAGCTGGCGGCCGCATACGCTGGGCGTCAAGAGGAAAAGGCCCTTCGAGAGTCCGACCGACGGTGTGTCTCTTACCCCGTTTCGACCTTTTTTCCCGATTTGTTGACTGTATTTGACAGCATCCTACATTATGCCAAGAAAAACTGGATAAATTTACTCTCGGTGGCGTTCAACAGCAGAATGAGAATTTCTGAAGGTTTCGTTTGGCCGAAAGTGATACCCTGCTACCACTCATTTATTGGTGTCCCATCGTTTCTCGTGATTACATAAAATGAACAACTCCCGACTCGCCCGACCATTAATGTCGTGCCAGATACCTCGCCAATTTATGGCCAGAGGGTTGGCTCGTACCCTCCATTCTGAGGCGATTCCGCACGATGACGCCGGAAGAAAGAGCCCAACAAACTCTCAAGATGGAAGAGCTGGAGGCAGAGAGAGACCTGGTAGAGGCCATCCGAGCTGGAGTTGCGGCAGCAGCGAAGGTGAATACTTCCGGCGAACTACATTTTGTAACCAGAGTGTCCGCGTGCCATAGTGACTTTATTGATTGCAATAAATACTGTAACATTGCTGCGCAGAGTGCTACATGTACCCTATTGCCAATGCATGAACACATGACCACCAGTGTGCGTGTTTCGCAACCGCTGATAACATCGCATTCTCGTCTGGCGTCTGGGCTTGTGAACCAGTGGGAGACGAAAGTTGATGACTACGGTCGAACATACTACGCAAACTGGGAGTCGGGGGAGGCGGTGTACGACCCGCCGCCGGAGATGAAGTACAGGCCCCCGCTCGGAAGGAACGAGCTAGGGGAAAAGGTGGACCCGAGGCTTCAGGCCCTCAGGTAGGTGGAATATGGTACGGGGAAGGTGAGGTGGTGTAGCCTTGAGCGTGCAAACGATGTCGCTACAGAGCACGCAAGAGTGCCTTAAATGGACTTCTTTGAACCACGTGCCAGGTGACGAATATCAAAACATATCACATGTGTAAGTAAGGTTCATGATGCTAGGATGCTAACGTACCCATCTAACCGAGCCATCCCACGCTCATGACTTCCCGACCGTACGTGGAAACTGGTCATGATTCGCCTTCCCCAGAGAGTGGGAACAAGGCACTGATGGATGGGGCAAGCCGTTCTGGCAGAACTCTCGCAGCGGTGAGTGCCGCATGACAATCCCCGGGAACAATCGTATTGTATCTACGGCTGTCTCTATTCTTCATTCGAAGCACTAATCTCAAAGGTGGCGGCTCTGCGCGATCGAGCACACGCCTCTGTAATTGCAATATCGTTAAGCTGAGAAGATTGAATGCGCTACGTTTGGGCAAAAGCCTCTACAATTTTTGGTGTTGTCGGTTGGCTAAGACTAGGAGTCTGCGTCCAAGCTTCGTGAATTTTGGGTCGTTCCCTGCACCAACACAGTCTACAACGAAGATCGTGGAGCTACAACGATAGTCTCGATCTTTTTCCATACTCTCCCCATTTGATACATTTTCGTGCCTTCTGTGTGCTACAGGGGATGTGGTTCAAACGGAACCCAAGGGCTGGAGCGAAGCCATGGGGCTTGGAGAGCACGAGCTAGAGGGCTGGGAGGGCCCCACCCAAGACGAGGTTTCGAGGGATGTGGCTGTAGAGGTGTGTACTGAATCACCATAACATTACGTCAATACGAACGCCGCGAATGGCCGACGAAACGATTTGCCATTCAGGGTGTACTGAGTTTGCTTCTTCGTGACCATTCATTGTAAATGTTGATCTCGTTTCTCTCGCTGAATATATGGAAAAAAATCACTTCTTCCTCGCTGTTGCACTCTCCGTCTTACAATGCATGCATCTTCTGCACCGATTTAGGCTGCCCGGGTGGTTATCACGTGGCTTAACAAAGCCAAGGAAGCAGAAGAAAAACGGACACGAAAGGCGGACGAGCCGTTGACTCTTGAGGATGGGAGTGGCGAGGCCAACGATGAGAGCAGTGATGAAGACGACGAAGATCAAGACGAGTTCGTGTACGATATCCAGGTGGACATCATTGCCCCATAAATACGAAGGTTCCATCCACCAGAACTTGTCTGCACCTTGTAGGAAGAATAATTTTCTTCATTTGCTATTTGCTGAAGAGCTAGACATCGCCGACGTTTTTGTCGTTCTGTGTTGACACGCACTCGCTCGCGAAACCTTACTCGCAATATTTCTCATCTCCAGAGCGTGGAGGAGCTTGCCATGGGAGGCGAAGGCTGGTGCTACCAAGGGCCGGCTAATTCTTCAAATGAGGAAGAAGGCATTGAGACCAACGCGGCTGTCCAGAAGGATAAGAGAGACAGTTGGGAGGGAGCACCCGCAGATGTTGCAGAGATCAGAAGTATCATCGTTCGGCTCGCGAGACGAGAAAACAGGTGAGGCGATACGAAATATAGGTGAAGCGATACGTTCGACGATGAAACTCACCATACCTTGAGGACGATGGACGAAGAGAACTTCAGCAAGGCGTCAATCGCATGATCTCTTGGACACGAAAAACGCGAGAACTCATTTGGTAGAAATTGGTCATGGTCAATCTCTACCTTGCTTCGTTCGGGCGATGGCGGCAACAGCTTCCGCTCGGCACAGCCGCGCAAGATTGTCATACCGGGAGCGTTTTTGGGCAACACTCGCATCGGTTCTTGTATCTTGTGTGCAAAGGTTTGAAAGGAGGCTAAAGTTGGTCCGACGCAACCTCGAAGACTTGGCCCACGACCTCCTGGCCGCGAAACGATTGGAAGAGTTGGAAGTGCACGACTTCGCCCTTGGACTAGGAGCGTCGGGGGAGGGAACCGCAAGGAGCCAAGACGTAGAAGGAAACGTGACCGCACCAACGGTGGTAGCAGGAAACACTAAAGAACTAGCAGATGCCGGTGCAGTACAAGGAGTTGACGAGAGCCCAGGAGGTGGTAACACGACGTTGTCGTCGACGAACGTAGTCTCAGCGGATATCGCGACAGCTGTGACGAACGCAGCTGATGCCCGTGACACTTCAGGCGATGGTGGGGTTTATGAGGAGGTCAAGAAGGAAAGGACGACCGACGACGCAGCAATCGGGTCGGCGGTAGGAGGTGAGCAGACCAACGAAGATGACATGGTCATTGCCGCTGCTGGTGCCGCTTCATCTAACGGTGGAGATCCTGCCACAGCGGCAACAGAACCAGCAGGAAGTAGCCCCCGCACCGCCTCGTCCAGCGGAGAAGGGGATCGAGCACTTGAAACAGCGGCCGAACAGGCCACCACGCAAGCTGCAGGGGAGGCAGCTGCCGAACCCGCCAGCGGCGGCTCTCGCGGAAGCAACCGAACCGACCACGAAGGGTCCGCAGAGGAGCAGCTACAGGTCAGCAGCGCCATAGGAGAAGAGGAGCGAAGCTCGCCGTCGCTGCCGAACCTTTCTGATCCAACCAATTCAGACGAGGGCGATGTTACAGTGGGGGTCGAGGAGGTTACCGAGGAACGGTTCTCGAATCCGTCGAAAACGCTGCCCGACACTCTCGCTCAAGAGATCGGCGATCGAGCTTTCCCTCTCGCTCGTGCCTCCGAGGAACAGGAGGGGGGGAGTAGCGGCGCCGTTTCATGCGCAGCTTTTCACGCGCTGGCAGCGGAGGCGGTTTGGGCAGGCCTTAACGGTTCGAACCACGTACAAAAACCACCACAAAGCGTTTGGGACCCTAGAGGGGGCGACCGCTGGGGCACTGCCGCGTTCTTCGCCGAGCAGATAGGGAAGCGGGAAGAAGAGGTGGCTCCGGGGTTACCGCGACGAACGAAAACGCGGATACCCCGGGTCGACCACGACAACGGCGACGGCAGTGGCAGTGGGAGTGATGGAGGTGGTGGCAGCGTTGGCGATTGTAGCGGTGACTATCCACTATCTGGGAGCTCATCCAGGCATGCCGCAGCCCGGGCTTTATGCATGGGGGCTATGAGCTCGAGGCGAGGCTTTCTTCAGCAGGCAGCTGAAGCGGCGGCTCAAGAGGTATGCGCAGAGGAACGGTTCCATTGACCGTCACGGTTGCTAGGATCCCTGTCCGTCTTCTCTGATTGTGTCATGGTGTTGTGCAATGTTTTCGCGGTTTCGTGATGGTGGTTATCGATGTCGTGGCTTTCAACAATACCGCGACAAAGTTGAAGTAGCACTACGCGTGGATTGCCGATTGAGTTTCTAGGCAGGAGTGAGGACGATGTCGCCACTATTGTAGACCAGGTTACGACGAATACCAGACACGGTTTCGCTGAATACTTGGAACTTGGCTTGTGAACTCTTGTGGTCACGCACCCCGAACGGCCTGATCTGCAGTAAACGCTTCCTCAATCCTTCCGTGGTAACCACCGCCTCCCCAACCCGCCACCTGCCGCACCCTTGTTCAACAAGGCACGACAGCGGTTGAACAAGGTTGTTGAGGTATCGGCGGCCACGAACCCCATTTCGCTAGGAGCAAGCGCACGCACAGAAAGCGACGGCAGTGCTGATCTCTACGACGAGACTGGTGCCAGCGGAATGATCGTTGGACGGGGAGGCAGCGGGTGCCTGACTAAAGCTGAGGACTGCGACGACGAAACACAAGACGAGCCTGTGATACAGTCCGCCGTCATGCTCCGGTTTGGTGCAGAAATTCCCTCGTTAGTGGCGGCAGGAAAATGCGGAAGGGCCGTTCAGTTTTCTATCCCTGACGACTGGAATAACCAGGAGGTATGAGCGTGGGGATATCTTTCAATGTTTGGCAGCAAGTTCCCGTACACGACATTTTCGAGCCCCCTCTCGATGTTCATCCTGCCCTTTTCGTTTACTTTTCTTCCAGCGGACTGGACAACAGCCAGGGTTTGCCGATCACTCCATCAACCACATTGGATCAAAACGGCCTGTGTATCGCTTTGGCTTTGTCGTGTACCACAATTTGCACAATATCATAACCTGCCGCAAGCGCGACTGAAGCGTTATAACTCGAGGCCTGCTCCTCCGCCCGATTTTGCTCGCTTGGTTACTCATACACCCGGGCGTCAATGACGGGGCTATCATTGCTCTCTTTCTTGGCACTCGTGTTGTGGGCGCACAGGCTCAAGAAAAGCAACACGCAGGGCAAATGGCGCGGCGCAAGGAGACGATGGAGATGTTGCGCCAGCGAGATGAGGCCCCTCTTGCCAGACCGAGAGGATACGACCCCAACAGCGTCCAAGCAGACACGGCAAGTTCCAGAAATGGCGTGAGAGTTGAGGATGTGTAGCGACCCTTCAGGCTGACCATGGCTTCGATTGTCACCTTCAAACACGGTTTGTCCTTGTATCGGCTATACCCGATTTTCCGGTCTTCTTTTCGGCTGGACGAAACTGCTCTTGTTGCTCGCGCCGTGTGAGCTTGGACATTACTATCTCTCCATTCTTCGCCGTTCTCCCGTGCCCCTCCACGTGCTGCTACTACACTAGTAGTTATCATAGACATGTTTTGACAGATTGTCTCATATTCCATCGTGCAAACCGACTGCATTGGGCGAATGGACCACAAAGATGACCCCGGCCTCACAAGATCGAGTCGGATCGAACACGCCTGCCTCTGCTGCCGTATTGTTTGCGTCCTTGATCGAAACAACGGTCGCATGGCCAACCTGGCGGTACCAGGAAGGCTCTCGTAGACGCGGCTGCCAGGATGCCAGGGAGCTTCTCCGCTACGAGGCGGTGGTACTGGAGGAAGCGCTGCATCAAACTCTCGTTGATATCAACGAGACGCAGGGCCTGCTGGAAGAAGGGCGAGCTCAAGCAGCGGCGAGGTGCCTTGGGTGGTATCTCGATTTCGTGCCGTCTTCCACAAGAGAGTAGAAACTACCGAGCGATGACGGTTGATCGCCCCGACACACGCGTTGCCACGACTGTGCCAAAGGCCGGTGTGCTGGCCGTTTTTTGGGCGCATGCTAGTACGAAATTCGGTGCAGAAGTGTGTAATAACGTGTTTGAATAACCCTGGCGACAAAAGTCATCAGGTTCGCATTCGGCCTTCAACCTTGCCCGAATATTCCTGACCCCTGGCTGCATTAGGTGGAAAGATTTGGTCGAAGCGGAGGAGATGGCGCTCGCGGGCCTAGCATTCGATGCTTCACGGCAACAGGCCGGTATGGCAAAGATGGCCATGGAGATAAGGGGTCTCAGAGTGCCGTTGATCGAGCCGCAGCCACCGTCCGTAAGTCTTCGGTAGATCCGCACCTGTTCGTGAAGTTGATGTTTACGGTTGTGATACCCTGTGGCTATTGGTTCAACGAAAGCTTTACTCAATAAGTTCGAGGTGCTGATATAGAGAACACCTCACGTTTAGAGTATGTCTCTACCAAACACAGTCGGGCATACACCTCTCTGTCCTTCCTCGTTCCCTACAAAGAGACGTGCAGACAGATGGGATATGGATGCAAGTTGTTACGCACGAACACGCCGTGATACCGGGAAAGACCTCATTTAACTAAAATAACGTACAGACCTTAGAAGTAAGTCTTCCATTTGTATCTATTCGCCCCTGTTTGCATTGGTTGTCAACCCTCTCCGACCCAGCGTGCACCATCTCTTGAGGTTGACTTGCCTTTCGACTCGGCTCACTATCTCGTCCCATCTTTTGGCCATATTGTTTGCTGATGTTTCCGTTGGTGACACCGTTGAAGCCGCCAACGCTTGACCCGGGACGGATGTTACCGCCGTCGCTAGTACCCGACGCAGAGAAAATGCGGCAGGACGAAGTGGACGTTTTTTCGGAAAAAATACGGTGGGTGCACTGTACGCTGCTGAACCTGGTCGTGGAGTCGGATCAGTCATGCATACGTACTGCGATGTCGCGCTCGATCGATTGGCTAGTCAGCGGTACACAAGAAGGACCGAACGTTAGCGTTGTTGCAGGAAGTTTCTTCTCATTTCGCCAATCGGTCCGTACACCCGCCACTGCCGTCTCGCACTCCCTCTCAATAACACCGAAACTTTCACAACGAACGTATGCATGCGCCTCAAACAATTTCGAAAGTGGCGGAGATTTCGACCACGGTGAACCAATCGTGCTACCCGAGGGGAAGACCATGTCGTCGAAACAGCTGCAACAGATCACGACGGTGATCAGCCAGCGACAAGCAGAGGTGGTGATTTTGCTCGAGGAAGAAACGCTCAGGTAAGAGAGGAACATACACAAAAGCGAAGCCTACTGCGTTATTTGAGATTTTGTATAAACAACTCCGAACGCTCACAAGAGAAGCTCAACTATGGGAGCGCCGAACCGGCATCGAATCAAATCGAGGAGCGAAGTCGGACTTGAATTAGCCACATGGTCTGAGGTGAATCGGTAAGAATATGGCAGAGTGAGGAGGGGAGGGTAAAGCAGATTGGGGTGTTCTAGAGATTACCTAGGCAGAGTGATTGCATAGGATGAGTAGACTCACTCGAGGAGCAAGATGGTGTCGAATGTAACAACAGACCAAAAGACCAATCAACCAACCGAAGCGCGTCTTTTTCCCATACCAGGTACAACGATGCCATGGGTGTGTACGAGTACAATCACCGCGAGTGGGAGCGGCTTGAGGTGGAGCGGAAAGAGCGGCTGTCTGTCACATGCCACCAGTCAAGACTAGACCACTTGAATCTCGATTCCCTGGCTGCACTTACAAGGTGCGAACGGTGTTGCATGGTTCCGCGTTCATTTTTCGACGGAAAATGTCTACTGAATCTACGGGAACGAACGGCTGTTCGCCAAGCGTGATCAGGTGGACGAACCTGGACCATGGTCTCTATAGGAATGTATTTCTTCGTGCCTGGAAGCACTCTCCACATATTTTCCAGGAAATGCAATGAAATGACACGGACCTTCGAGCTTCATGTCCCTTCCGCATAATGGAGGAACCCCACAGTGGACCCGGGGTCTCTGCAGGCAGCCGTGTCAGCTCCACCCCAGATCCCCCTGGTACTATTGCCATCCGCCCGTACAAGGGTCACCCACGTGAGATCCGAGTCGCCCGTTTTCTCTCTACTGCCGTCAAGATCCCACACGGAACACCTGAAGCTTTTGACCTTGGAGGCTTCTGCGGACCAAGACATAGCGCTACAGTCGCAAGAAGCAAAGCGGAGGTTCGAGGCAAGTTGTATTGAACACCTAGATTTACAGCCTTGCTGAGCATTTCGGTCTAGTAGAACGATACCCATGGGAGTATCGTACGCCGAGTAAACTGAAAGACTATTGAAGGGGGGAAAAGCTCATTGAAGGTCGGAGCGGAAGCCTTACTACACTTCAATGTCTTTGATGATGTTGAACCTAATGTTGAAATCCACGAAAAGGCGGAATTAGGCTGGCTCACAAGGACTGTCTCTGGGTCAAGTAAATCGGAGGTATGTTCCGTGCTGTAGACACAGCGCCAAATTATCCATCTGCGGGGTTCAACCGCGATATCGTCTCTTTAGAGCCCTGGGGCAACTACGTCTGTTTCAGTTACAAAGATTATATTGTGCTCGTAGTTCACCCCACTCTACCTTGTGCCTGTCTTCGGTGCCATTGAAAAAAGACTATGCACATGCCCGGTAGCAATGTGCTACCGTTTCAATTCTGCTATCGATCTTCTTCGCCCGGCGTTGTCATGTTTTGTGCAGGCAACCTTGGCCAAGGAAATTGCCGAGGAGGCCCGGGCGCACGAGTGGTTGCTACGTTTACAGGTGAGGGCCTTCAACGATAATCAGCACGGACTCGATTTGCATGAATAAACAGCACGAGCTAGCACCCATTCGCGTGGTGAATGGGTGTGGTACAGTTTAGGAGAAGGAACGTTCTGACTCCAGCCAGTCGCTTCTTGATAGGCGAAAGAAAGTGCTTATACATCCCAATAGCAACATTGCGATGGCATCGTCCCTTGTTGGAGAAAGGAGACCGTTGCCGCACCCAAGCGGAAAATGTGGTGTAACATTTCACGTCGAGTCGACGAGAAATCCAGATTTCAAAGAAGTGGCGACACCCCAACTTGCACCTAGGTGGAGCTACCAGATGCGCTTAGAGACAAGGAAGCACTGGAGAGGCTGCCGGATGCGGCGCTCAACCGGCTGGATACGCTGCGGTGGGAAGAGCGACGAGCAGGCAGGATGATCGAATGCCGAAGGTATGCCAGTACGTTGTTTTGTTGCTCAAGCCATCTCTCACTGTTCTTCGTACATAATGAAGGTGGGTGTTTGACACCAAGCTCACATCTCGACCATCGGACCGAGCGCCGGAACGGTGTGGAATTAGTGGTCTCTAGCGGGTGGATATGATGTCCAACAGTTCCGAGACTCGCCGGAATCACACCGTGAAGAGCACACGAAACTGTTTCCGGATTTCTCAAAACAACGATTTGGTACGCCGGCGAAGTCGATCAATTGCGAATAGTCCGGTCAAACGAAGTATTGAAGGAGCCGGTCGTAGGATCTAACTTCCGCCGTAAAGGGAGCCCCCTGAACGATGGGAATATTGGTTACAGAAAGTTGGGTTGTCGTCCTTCACCGTCGCATCCACGCACGATAATACTACGTTTCTCCCATGAGTCCCTGGGAGAGAGGAAAGGTAGCAGGACACATGCACCCCGCTACCCCTTAGCCCCCTCGACCCAACGGTCCATGCGACGATAGCAGGCATATCCAGAACGCGACCACGGTACTACGGAAGCCCTGAAGCGGGAGCACGAAAAACAGGGAGTTAACACTCCAGGATTTTTCTTGTACATTGCTTGCGTTCAACTCTCGTTACAACCACACGGGCTGACAACCTTGGACCAGGCGCGTGGCCGAGCTCCGAGAGAGTCTTGTGGAAGAGGGTAGACGTCGGCGGCAGCTTTACGAAGAGAGAAAGTGGGTCGTGCAATCCGAGTTCCGGAGGTTGCTGGCAGAGAGGGCCGCGGTGGGGGAGAAGGAGGGCATGATAAGGCTTCTCGTGAAGGTTTGGTTTGCCTGATACGGTGCTACTGTAGCGTATGTTTGTATCAATGTATGTGTCCGGCATAATCTATTGTATCGTCGCTGCATTGTCAGCAAATTCGGCACGTGGGTAGATGTGTTGCCTTCTTTCCAGACAGCAGCGTCGCCCGTCTACTGAGTTGTGTAGGCAATTAGCATCCCCTCGTACGGCAATAGTTCAAAGGTTAGTCATCCAAGAGTTGTCGATCTCTCCAAACCCGTATTCCGTGTGCCCGACCGATATTTATTGTGCGCACGTGGCTGAGAAAAAGTTGCGCAAGCCGTGAAAGATTGTCAATGCTCACGGCGTCCTTTCCACCCCGCAACATGACCTTCTTACCGTTGTCCGCGTAGGTCGGACACGCGACGCTCGTCGCCCAAAGATCCACATTTGAGGCCAGGAAGAAAGAGGCGGCAGAAGACAAGGACGGGGTCGGGACAGAAGGAACGGTTTCTCCGGGAGACGTGTATTCTGCCCACAGAGACTGGGTCAGCGAGGAATTCCAGGAGGCCGCAAAGGAACAGAAACGTGAGGAGGATTGGGGGAGGGAGCGGAGAGTGGAATGATCAGAAGAGCGAAACGGACGGACTGAGAAGGCACGAATTGTTTCAGCCCCTTTGGTATTGACATCACCCCATGGAACCGATTCTGCTCTTTGAAACAGGCTGGGAAGACAAACTAGCAGAGATGGTGCGGATTCGGGAGCTGGCCCGAAGGCGCGAGACCACCGTGGGCGAGCTTGTACAAGGTGCTGCCAGGGGAGCACTTCCCGCACCCCATCCAGACCAATGGCTGCCAAAGGCGGAGAAGCAACGGCACGAAGATGAGGTGGGTCATTGTGAAGGGATTGTTGGGAATTTCGATGGGATAGAGATAACACTTTGGCGTATGGAAAAAGGGTTCTTGATTGATTTGTTTGGCCTCGCGCCCGTTCGAGGGCCCCTGAAATGGAGCTGCGTTGACACCGAAACGGGAAATAGTTATCTAGGATTGAGCACAGCAGATATTTTTGCCTCCAACTGCACGTCGACACGCACGGTGAAGGGTTGGGGCGCTACCTCGCGTAGGCAAAGTTGAGCACAACGCAAGGGTTAAGGGGCTTCCATGTGCGTTCGATGAGCTCCTACAAATATCATGGGAAACATTATGTCTCTAAGCAAGGCACAAACACCTGCAAAAAAAGATCAATCAAACTGCGGCTCCATTTGTCTGCCCGCCTGGACAAACGAAGGTGCGTCTCCTACTCGGAAGGCACGCACGGGAGCTACGCGTGGAGCAAGAGGCCGTGGAATCATCGTGCGTGAGAGTCCGCGAGGCCGCCCGCGACGTCGCCATCCTCAAGGCCAAGCTAGGGGCGATTGAGGGCTGGAGAGACCACGAGATACTGACCTTGAGGACCGCCGGGAGGGAAGCTGTCGACAGCCTGAAGGTGTGTCGTGCCGTTGGTGTGTTGCGATACCGCTTGAGTGCTGTAGCGATAACTTTGAGGCATACCACGCCCAGAAAACGAGCGAACCCCTCGTCATACGGCTATCTTCATAACGATAACACGAAAGCAGGAGCAATCTGTTCTTCGAGACTTAAAGGAGTACCCATCCAAATGCCCTGCGCGGGCGCCTCAAGGCGCCCGAATGTGCCCCGCACAACATGAAGACAGTTTTCAAAAGGCTCCAAGGACCTGTATTGTTGCAGCATTGGCTAATAAAAACACGTACTGAGGAAAGGTTGAGAGTGTACGAACGAATAAACTTTGAAGTGTTTTTGAACGCCCGTCCTAGTGGGTCGGGGAGGGCGTGTAATACAAGGTAGAGCATAGCAAGTATTGCTTTTCGACAACGTTTAAATGTTTGTGTGCATACTTCAAGTAGCACAGTTGTAGTCGAGTCTAAACGCAGCCAAGACATGTATGATCTAACTGTTTCTTTGGGGGTTCCTATGCGGTTTGAGCCCTGCCGTGCTTATGCGCTCCTGCTCTTGTCGCCTGCCATGATGTGATATCTAAGCTTTCCTCTTTTTAACGAGACGTTTCGGACTGTTTTAATGGTAACCCCAAAGAGAAGATATCCAGAGCATTTCGCACGGCTCCCATCACCAGTTCAAACATACATGCAGCCCTCCTCATCGTTTCTCTCTCCGACCTGCCTTGCTTGTTAAAACACGATCACAGGGCCTTCTGGAGAAACAACGGAAAGAGTCTGCCGCTCGCATTGACAAGCTAGAGCAGGCTCTGTCCGAGCTCCGCAAGGAGTACAACGAGGTATTTTACGGCAAGCATATGTGGCCAGCATATAAGTGACGTGCATTCGGTTCTGGGAAGAGACCAGCAGCACGCAATGAAACCGGTCAATAAATGGACAGGAAAAATTAATCTAGATTCCAATTTTGTTGCTGTCCGATCCTACCAAAACAATAGAGTGTTGCCAACTCCTAAGAAGCAGTACATCGGACGACCTTCGACGATATGGCATTGTGCGTGAGCCCTTCTACTGATTCTTTGTCGAGGGGTTGCCGCCTATCGTTAGACCTTCGTTCCTAAGGGAAAAATCAAACGTCGAGCTCGATACTTACTCGGCAGGGGGGTTGATAAAGTAGTGTCCGGGTACCCCAAGTAACCCTGCTGAGGATGAATGATATCCCGTTCGGATTCCGAGCACACTCTTACTTCCTGAGGGGCGTGTGCTTCCCCAAGGGGCGTGGTGTATTTTGACACGGCATCCCAATCAATGGATATATGACCTGGGAATGTCACTTGGTCGGCATAGAATCGGTACGTGAAGCGTTGTCTTTCTGTTTCGCAACGCAGAATAGAGAGACTCATGCAGAACGCGTAGGCAATCAGGCTGCTCGTTGCGACGGATTCAACCGTGTTTGGCCAAACTCAACACCGCGGCTCGTGATAATATTTTCTTTGTTCTCCGACGCTTCCAGGACAATCCAATACCGATGTGCACATGCCCCCCATTCCCCCAATTTCTGTGCTGATTACGCTAACGTTCAAAAAGGTTCGTGCGGAGCTGACCGCCCGTATCGAGCAGCTGAACCGCGGGCGTTCCAACACGGAGGCGTGGGTAAAGGCTCTGAGGCACGACCTTGCTCAGGAACGAGCTAAGAGGGAGGCCGCAGAAGACCGCCTGGCGATCGTGAAGGACCGCGCGAGGGTGTGGATGCTCGAAATCGCCCTGAATGCAACTTTCTTATTGTAGTATCACCGATGATGTTGGCCGTCTGCTCAGAATACCACACGCCCAATTTTCTTGACTTTGCACACCGTCGGGAATGCGACCTGCGGTCGGCATGACCATGCTGACAGGTACCACGGGCCGTGATGCACTGGCGTAGCTTCTGTGTCCAAGGATTTAGTCCCCTTGTATTCAAACTCGGAAAACACCCTTCAAGATGCTGTTTCAAGTATGCCTGCCTGCTTGTGTTCCTTCGTGTATGTACCGTAGTGGGCATTTCTGTTGTTGTGACAATGCTTGCATTGTTGCTGGTGATTGAAGGTGCTTTCCGAGAAACTACGAACGGAGCTGCGGGCAGAGAGGATGCATTCGCTGCGGCTGGAGCTTTGGATCGCAGCATTGCACGATGAGGTCAGCAAAGTGAACGAAGGGATTTTCGATTTCGGTGCTATGTTCTAGTTTGGATATTTTTAAGTCGCCGGTGTGCCTCATTGCGTCTGGCAGAAAACGCACAGCCTCCGCTCGAAACCAGGCGGCCATCTGGAAAACCGCCGACGAAGATCTTTCAGACACTTCTTCGTACATTGGCATGGGAGCTATCGCGCGTGCGAGCACGTTACTTTCTATGGAACAATGAACGAAGGAGTTTAGCAGCAAGGTGTACCCCTTGCCGAACGAGGCCTCTTGGCATCATGCGTGTTTCCGTGTCTCAGATTTGCTTTGTGGTGATGGTACAGGGCATCATCCATCCCTCGGAACCAGCCCCGCGGCGTGCTCGACGAGAACCATCGTTCAGAAAGGCGAACACCTAATGTACCAAGCCCATGAGCCCTTCCCCGTCCATGGCCCAACACGATACAACACATGGCTTTCGTACTCTGCGATTCCATGCCTTTCGATAACTGATATGCGTACAACACAGATTCGCTTCCACATCAAAACCCAAGAAGAAATGAGGCGGCTCCAGGCGCTGGAAAGGATTGAACACGAGCGACAAAAGCGGGAGGAGAGACACAAGGTGTGGCGACATCGCACGGCCATCCGCCTCCTATGCACGAGCGTGGACGGCCTGTTCCTCTTCTTCGCGCAGCGACTGGCCAACCTGGCTGGGTCTCGACGGACACACAACGACGCCTTACGCGCTAACGGTGAGTGCTTGCGGTAGTACTCAATTTGTGACGTCTCGAAAAGCGATGCATATTCTTCACAGTTGTTCATTGGCTACGATAGTAGGCCACCTCTATGCTGAAAGCCTGCCCCGTCAAGTTTAAGGTCTACCTATTTCTACCCAAAAGTTTCTATTCGTCATTGGGAATCATCGCAGAGAGGCGGGTCAGCTGTTTTGAACCTCTGACGATGCTTTCAAAGCACGCGATGATCAGTGTATGTACACTGCTTCTTCGCTAGCGGACGAAGTGTGCCGTGTTACGTTCATACCGGCCAAATAGTTTGCCTAATAGTGTTGGCATGAGCAGTCTCAGGCATTGTGCCTCGACGATATCCACCGCCGTGCTCGTCGCGACCAGCTACTAAATGCGTACACTGTTCTCTCTCGGAGGTGCTTTTCCGAAGAGACCAATGCACGTTTCCGTTGTTGACGCCGAAGGACCATCACGTTGCCTACTGACAACAACCTCACTCGCGTATGCATGGCACTGCCCGCTGGGAACTGAACCAGGAAGGCTTGGGTAAACGCCAGACTTTCATCACGAAACGCATGAACACGTGAACCCGTTGCCTGCCCCAAACTAACAGGTGCTGTGGAGGTGCTTGCTGCCGTCTGCCGCGGTCCTCGCAAGGATCTTCGACGGCTCGCCGCAAGAGCATTGGGAGCCCTCGGTTGGAACGGCCACACCGAGGTAACACAAGACGCTTCTGTGCTTTCCGCCGCCCTCAGTCATCCGTAGATTACGACATCTTCAAAAAGGCACCACATGTACTCATAGTGTCGAGGTGCACTGCTGGACTTTGTGCACGGGGATCAAGCCTAGTGCTGTGTCTTTAGCTGTCCTGCAAACACTGGTTGAGCTCTCAGGCACTGGCGACGATGGGTTCTGGCGATTTCACAATTTCATGTCGAATACCCTCGGGTAGGGTTTAACTTCCAACACCTCCTGGAAACCCAGAGAGGACGTGTGCATACTCCCTCGCCATAGAAGACCCGTTGAGATGTCTGTGAAACGCTTCTACAACCTGACCGTTTGTGCCCTCCTCGACCCTCGTCCCGACCCAGCATCGTACAGTTGATCACCTCGGACGACGAAGAAACTGCGCTCGTCTGCTGTTGCTAACGATGAACTCTCAATATCTACGTTCCCAGCTTCGTTTCTTACGCAAACAGACGGAGTTCACGTTTTGTCAAACGAATGCACCAAGGTAAAATGTAAAATTGGAACAAGTACTGAATTCTCAGCACAACTCTATTGAACTTCGATTGAAAACCAGGCGCGTGTCTTGGCGTGGGACATTTACCGCCACTGGGACCTCTGGGTGCAATCATGCTGCCCGGCCGAGGAGGCACGGCTGCTGGAGAGGGGGCGGACCTTCGACGGACCCGAGGAGTTCAGGCATGCCGATCAGATATCAGCGCCCCCTTCTCCATCCCCTGCTTCTGCCTGGCACGAACAAGCCAGCAGAAGCCCCAACAGCCCACCGCTCCTTTCCAAGCAGAGGGGGCCGGGAAAGGCAACCAAAGAATATTTCTCGCGTTCAATCGAGGACGACCTTGCCGACAATTCTGCTGTCGACGAGTCTGGACAGAGGGCGTCGTCATCAGGAGATGGACAGGGTGGTCAACTTGTCACCGAGGCGACGGCGACGGCGACGGCGACGCCGGAAGCCGGCCGCCTTGGTGGCGTGGGAGAGGATGAGAACCAGGAACACGGCAGCGCTGAGAAAAATGAAGGAGAACGAGTGGAGGAAGAGGAAGAAGAATTCAGGCCAAGAGCGGCAATGAGCGCAAGAGCCGTTGTGCGTGAGCGCCGCCAGTGGGCCCTCAGGCGGGCTAGGAGGCAAGAAGGGCCAAACGAGGCCAATCAACTCGAACTCGGCGGGTGGTCGCCGGCTGGAACCGGTGTCCCCGAGGCGTGGGTGGACACAGTGGTGAAGGTAGCGGGTGTCGGAAGGAGAGGCGCCAGGGGAGGAGGAGGAGGAGGAGGAGGAGGAGGAGACGACATTGTGGCTGAAGGCAGCGGTCGGGGAGGAGGAGGAGGCGCTGTGGCATTGCTGGTGAGTTCAGTAGGCCTCTGGGTTTCATACGTAGGAGAGTGAGCCAACGTCATTTCGTCCCGATCAGTCGACGTAAGGTATGTTGGAGGAACACGTACTTTTTTTCCAGTCGTTTCGTCTCTTCCTGCGGTCCCAGCAACACCAGATGGATCCGAACAAGAGATACCCGTGACCATGAGAAAGTTCATCAAAACAAACAACCTTGGCCCCCAAGTTCCCGTTCCACCCCAGTCTTCCCTCATCCCTCTTCCCTCTTCCTTCTCCCCTCGCCCTCAATATTGCCATCTGGATGTAAATCCCTTCAACTCCCGGACCGGATCACCCATCTTTCAACAAAGACTCGCCTATGCAGAGAGAGAGACGACTGGGAGGTCGTTCGGGCCGCCGCTTCGGCCCTAAGCGTGGCGGCATACCACGAGGACAACGCCGACCGCATGGGCAAGGCGGCGCCGGACCTCATCCCGGTCTTGGTGAGCTTGCTGCCCCACCCGGACCCCGAGGTGCAGACGCACGCCGCCACCGCCCTCGCCAACCTGGCGTTCGGCTCTCCGTCGTACCAGTCGGAGGCGGGGGAGGCTGGGGCCGTGGAAGCGCTGCTCGACGTCTGTCGCGGGAGGGCTGGCGTGGATGCGGGCGATGTTGGCCATCGTGGCGGGACGAGTGGGGGTGGTACGCCGCTCGTTGCTTCTGGCATTGACAAGGATGGAGTTGACGATAAGGCGGAGGGAGGGGGCGGTAATCGAGGAAGAAGTGGAGGAGGGAGATCTACACCAAGCAATATAACTACTAATGGGCGAGGACGCTCTGAATCTGGAGAAGACGAGGCCGGGGGCGTTCGCGGCGAGGTCCAGCGGGTGGGTAGGACCAAGAAGGAAGGGGAACCGTCGAACAAGAGAGACCAGGGAGCTACAGCAGAGTGCGGAGAACAGGAAGAACACATGTCTTCGACGGATGAAGCGAACGCTGAGAAGGCGGAGACTCGCGACGTTGGTGCGGAGCGCGCGACTAAAGTAGGTTGTGAGGGAAACAAGGGTTTCATTGTGACACGGCGGCAGGACGAAGAGGAGGGTGGCGTCGAGGACGAGGGGGGTGAGGAGGGCGGAGCGGCGGCGACGATGGACGTCGACGCGGTGCAAGCGGCGACCGCGGCCCTGGCTAACCTGCTCTGCTACAGCGAGGCCAACGCCGTGAGGCTTGTAGCCGCCGGTGGGATAGGCGTTCTGGTGGGGTTGGTGTCGTCGTACAAACCGCACAACCTTCTTGACTTCGACCAGGTATGAGTGTGTCCGTTTCGTGACTGCATGCATGCATGTGTGTGTGCGTGCGCTGGCAACTACAGATGCGGTCATGCCCCGTTTTGGCATTCAAGTTGGAGGGTTTCCGAAAATGCCATTGCGAACGTGCAGTGCATTACAGACGCGTTCGTGCCCCTCGTTCTAACCATGAAGTTCGAGAGTTTTCGAACATGCTGTTGCAAAGGTTCCTTGGCCTCCACTGCTCCCAATCCCAGGTTGCGACCGGATCAGTCGGGGATAACATATATTGTTCATGTTATTCGGTCATGCGTTAGCATCAGTACTACAACCGCGGACATGTACCATTTTTCAGACACCACCATCGCCTTGTTAACGGAAGCGTCCAGAGCAGTGGCAGACACCACCATCGCCTTGTTAACGGAAGCGTCCAGAGCAGTGGATGGGAATACTCGATGACATGTTCCCCATCACCAGAGGAAACGGGAGTATACTGTAGTGGCAAAGGGGTGTTTCGCCGCACTCAAGAGGTCCGGAAGCGCACGGCATTCTTCAGTTTCATACTATGTCGTGCTCGTCATCCCTTTCCAGGCGGAGGAAATCCAGGCTAACGCAGCCGAAGCCCTGGTCAACGCCACCCGTAACCACGGGGATGAGGTCACAGTGAGGATACACTCTTTAGGCATCAGCCCCTTGGTTCTCATGTGTGGATCTCACAACTTGCAGGTAAGACGGCGTTGATTCTCTGGACGGTTGATCTCTCTTGTAGTCACGGAGCCCGGAACTTCTTGGAAGTATCTCGAACCGGAATCCGTGACTATCCCTTGGTGGAGTTCGCTGGTACTGCTACAACACAGAATGTTCGTTAGGGTTTCGTAGATACCATGTTGAAAACAGGGGAAGTACGCCCTCAACTGTAGCGGGGGAATGGGAGATTCGAAACGCCAATCGTGTCGACCGCGTCAGGTGTCACCACGCTTGTCTTCGTGGTTTAGCTTACTCTTCGCACACCCGATCGATCTTGTTCACGCACCGTGAGATATGGTCAGATCATGCGGCCCCGTCTCGGGGTGTCGATTTAAAATGTCCGTGATGTTGGACAACACGCTGCGCCGTCTTCCTTCTGTCTTGTTCTCCCCTCTGCATTTTTTTATCACCCGCACTCGATCTCGTCGACCAAAACAGGTGCAACGACATGCCGCCCTGGTGATCGGAAACGTGTGCCAGACAGACGTTCACCGTGCAACAGCGGGCGACGAGGGTGCGGCAGAGGCCCTTTTTGCCCTGTGCGACACCAATGACGACGTAGTCCGCGCGAATGCCCTCTGGGCTCTTGGAAACCTGGCATGGGACCCTCACAATCAGGTAGGGGTTAGCATTTGATGCTGACAAATTTTCGCCTGGCCGCCATCGAGAGGCTGTCTAGCAGTTTTGACGACATGATCTGAGCCCACCAGTGAATATCCTGCCACATGAGATGTAAACATGTTTGCTACCCGACTTAAGAATACAAGACCAGAACCAAACGATACCAAACAGCTAGCGCTGTGGTTCGGTAGCGTATCGGCACGAACGTCTGAGCACTGTCGATGCAGCCTTAAAGAATGATTGTCGGGTATCCCTTTTTGTTGATAGCTCGCAATTGCTGTAAATTACCGGTTGGTCTTTTGCGGCACACACACGACGAAAGAAGCAGCCGCAAGCACCCGAGGTCTTCTTCTCCGTACGCGGAATTACACCTCGTTTCTGCCTGGAATCCCATCGAACCGTGCCATGAGGAGAATCGTCTCCTCCCATAGTGCTCATACTCACCCCGAGACCTGACCTTTCCCCCGCAGGAACGCATCGGCCGCTACATCTCGCAGCTGTTGGCTCTTGCGTCTTCCTCGTGGCTTCCCATTCGAACAAACGCGCTCATCTGTCTCGGAAATTCTCTGTTCTTCCACGAGGCCAATCGACGTCGATTGGAGGCGATCGACGAGGCGGTATTGACGCTGCTTGGGTGAGAATGGAGGGAATGGATTTTAGACGTCATCCACGCCGTCATTGACGCTGCCTCGGCATAGGGATGCATTGAACTGGACAAGTTGTTTTTGGAATGTCGTTGCTATTGATTTGACGAGGGAGTGATATTCGAAACCCTCACCCGTTTTCGTGTTGATATTGCTTGAGATAGGAAAGAAGTACTTTCCCGATGTCGACCGTTGTGGACCTGTTTGTCGCGGTAAACACGTCAGCTTGAAGTTGGCAAATGGAAAGATGTAATATAAGCATGAAGATGGGGCGATCGAACCTCGTCCTTGTCGATATGCGACCACTTCTGTGCCCCATTCCTCCCTCTCGCCCCCTCGAAGTCAGAACACTTTCCCGAACGTACATGTCTAAGCGCTTCCATTCAGCCAAGATGCTTGAGCTGAAACATCGCCGATCATTCATGCCGTGCCACCCCGTCGATCCATGCAGGTATTGCGATCACGATCACCCCGCCCCAGTCCAGGAGGCCGCACTTCGTTGTTTGGTGTCTCTCACGTACGTCGATCGCATCGTGGCGCCGTTGGTCGACGCCGGTTGCATCGCTCTCTTTGTGTCGAGCCTGGCGCCTTCCGTTCCCACCGCCGTGCGCCACCCGGCCGCCCTGGCGCTGCTGAACGTCTCCGTCCACGACCTCTACAAGTCACGCGTGGCGGAAGCAGGGGGGGTGGAGGCGGCGGTGGCTCTGCTGGGCTCGGATAACCCGGAGGTGCGACAAAGTTATCAGACCAGCCTACCGTTGACGACGTTTGTGTGAATCGACCAGGAATACGACACCAGATTGTGTTGTTGTTTTGGAGAGCACTGACGTGTACTTTTGGTTTCAACACAGTATCCCCAGAGTACCATTCGTGAGTGGGCTATCCTTCTGTGACCCAACGTAGTGTAGCCGCTGGAGAACCTGTCGAGCATTAAACGGTTATCGGCGATAGACCGTTCGCTGCCAGTGTAATAAATGCAACCCGAGGTGAAATTGTTGTGTTCCCAGGGCAACCTGTGAGGCGCACTACGTCATTAAGTCCACTAGCTGCACGAAAACAGATACAATGCAAGGAGTGTGGTCACACTTCCTCCTTGTATTTGTACCAAAAGGTAGACTACAGCTTTTTCCTTGACTGCAGGGCAAGGTTATTTTGGAATAGTTGCCGTGTTGATCGAAAACAACACTTTTCTAATGGCAATGGCGGTTAGTGTTCACAACCAGGGAACAGAAACGTACTTGGTTTCTACGATTGGTACGTTGCATGTGTTTCTGGGGACGCAACTTGGGAAACCACGACACCGCAAACACCACAGCGAATACGGCGGTACTCCGCGCGTGCCGCTCTCAATCGACAGAAAGGAAATCCAAACTGTCCAAATCTAAACTTTCTATCCGCCAGGAACGAGAGCTGGCGGCGAAGATACTCGCGGCACTTGCTTGCACGGAAGCCGACGACGAAGACAGCGGCAAAAAGCAGCAGCTAGATCTGCCACACCTCCTCGGAATCGTTCAGACCAAGGGGAACCTCACGGCGCAAAAGGCGGCCGCCGAACAAATTGCCCAGGAAGTAAGGAACGGATCAGAGGCCACGAGTGTTTCGTGAACTACTCTACGTAGTTCGTTGTCATGCCATCGCCAAAAAATTCTACCAGGCATCGTGCACGTTGTTCCTGTCAATTTTTCTCGAAACGAGTCGGGAACACTACACTGCATTTGTGCAAGTGGTACTACATGTAGTGTTCGCCGTCTTGACCGACGTCTCCATGTCTTCAAATTACGTGCCAGGGAACCGGAAGACATCGGTTTTGCAAAATATCTTCTTCGCCATTTGGAAAATCCACCCCATACGTATGCTACCGAGCCCTGCCACTTCAATGTATCCACACCGCACGTGTGTGAACTATCCTCTGTGTGGGTCAATGAAGCCCAACATTTGTTTTTGCGGCGTTTTCTCTGGTCGGGTCAGGTATCGCAAAACCCCAGCAAGCAGCGAAGCCTGGGCGAAAGCGGCGGATTGGCGGTGCTCCTGGGGATGTGCGACCACAACACCGAAGCACCGCTGCTGGTACCCGTGTTGTGGGGCCTGAGAAACTGCTTGCACGGCAACGACGCCAACAAGAATCGGTTCGTTCGGGCCGGCGGACTGGAGGCGCTTGTCCAGGTGAGAGGCGTTCGTTTCACAGGTTGTAGTGTTTTGGGAGTCCCTTTGGTCAGGACCTCGCTGTTGTGCTGTCCATATCCACGTTCGTGGCTCCCAAAGACATTGCTTTCGTCAGGCTCAGCGGGGTCGCTTCACATTACACCGCAAAGGTTGCTGACGTTGCCGCTTTTCTCAGACTACGGCCAACGTTTTTGGTAGCGGCTTGTTCTTTTTCCCCTATGCGACACTGACCTCCGCACGAACGCCGCTCGCTTGCTAACGCTCGAGGGACTGCCCGTCTCTGCCTCGAAAAACGTTTCATCGTCTTCGTGATTGAAAACGCAGCTGTGCCACTCCTCCCGCTCGGCGGGCGAATGGGGTGTCGCGGAAGGGGTTCTAACGACGCTTGTAACCGCTGCCACCGGGAACGAAAAGATCTGCCGGCGCCTCCTTCGGGTCGGGCTGGATCAGCTCATCGACGCCGCGGAAGATAGCAATCATACGAGCAGCTACGGTACCGTGCAGGATGAGCCCGCCAGCATCACAAAGTTGAGCGGCCCCAAGCACGCTGGACATCGCTCTAAGACCTCCGTTTGGGGGGAGACTCCTCCTCCTTCTGCCCCTCCTGGCGAGGGCGGCCAGGGAATGACAAAGAAAATCAAGTGCCTGCCAGCGATGCCAGGGGTGGCGCACGCCTGCCCATTGCCGGGGCCCCAGTCGGCCGCTGGTCCACCACGCGGACCGGCGACCGATGGGGAGCTCGGGCTGGACAAGATCGACGAAATAGGAGTGGACGGCGTCCTTCGAGAAGACTCTGAGGCGCTGGCGCTAAGGATGCAAGCGGAGTCGAGGGAGACATGCTCCGCGCTAGCGACGAGCCTGCTCCAGGCACTTGGGCCGTTCAATTACGTGAGTAATAAGCTAGCCAACCGAGGTCTCTCCGTGATGTGAGGTTCAGAATCCCGCAATGCCGGTATGACGGCACCCTCCACCAGGAATGACAGCGTTTTCGTGTTTTTTCATGTCGGGGTTCTGAAACAGTCACTGTTTCTCGCACGATGTTTGATTGGAAATAAATGTGTAGGGAGCAGAAAGTGACCCTTTTCATGAGAACGACATGTTTCGACGTTGCCCTCAATGCCTTCAAGCCAGATGGGAAGATTCCTTCATATTCATCTGGTGAGGAACTGGCTTCTGAGATTGGTGGGTTGACTATTGGGGCTAGCGTCTGTATTCAAACAGCCTCGCGTTGTGTCCATGCGGCCGGTCTCGTGCTGCCAAGAAAGTGTGCACCAATGGCGCCTTATCTAAGGGTAGCGTCGTGGGGTTGTCACCCACGGTTCGTACAATAGTGAAGTTCACATAGAGTTAAAAACACGGGTGGTTGTCCAAATCCTTGGAAAGGTAGGAGACGGCTTCGCTTGCTGAATGACATCCAACCCGTTCGCGCACGATGTATTAGGTCATTTGCGGGCACTGCGGCGCTCGAGAGAAAGGCGGCACTACGTGCAGTCAGTGTGGGTACGCCATCAAGTTTGATTTTTCTGGACAAGACGAAGATTTGCCCATCCTGCCAAGAACGATCGACACTACCAGTCGTGCACGGGCACCTGTCGCACAGGGCAGCTAACCAAACGCCAGGGGCGGTTCAGAGAACGAGAACGTTCCGCACTAAACAGCTAGATCCATCACACATGAGGCCGAGCTGTCTCACCCATGGTCACTTGCACTTGAAGTTTTTGTTTCGTTTCGAGCGTCGTCGTCTTTGACTTACAGGAGCCAGAAGAGCGCACCTAGTAGTAGATGAAGTGTGCATGCTGCTGGTTCGACTGTGCCTTTAAAGCGTACCATGCAGACCTATTGCAATTTAAGCACAACCCAGAGAGCTGAGACACAAAGAAGTTGTGCTTGGACAGCAGTACCACCCGTAGTCAGCCTTGGGTGAGCAGCCCCACCAGGAAACGGCAACGTAGAAAGCCCTTCCCAGCCTTCGGTGTGTTCTTGCTGATGATATGTTCTGAACCAATGCCTGGGATATCAAAAAGTGAGTTTCGTGGCGTCGCTGTTGTTGTTGTGAAATGTCCAGTTGGACAGTGTATCTTAGAACACATGGCCACTTTTGCCTTAGTTTGCGGGGTTGAATTATCACGAAAAGTAGATGGTCGTGGTTGACGATAACGGGTTGTCCAAAGGACGCAGCGAAGAGATCCAGCAGATTGCGTTTGGGGCGTATCAGAAACGCATTTAGTCTCGGTGAGAATTTTCTTGCCGTCGATTGTTGAACCGTGCAACAATATTTTCTCGCTATTTTTTTCCCTTTTTGCCCTTCTTTCCCCCTTTCTTGGCCTTCTTCTTGGCCTTCTGGTACTCCGCGCGGTCCCTTCCCCCTCGAAACATCGCCTGAATCTTCGTGGCCGCTCCATCCACGATGCCCATCGCCCTTGCCACCTTCCCCCTAACCACGGCCAGAGTCTCTTCCTCCGCCCACTGCTGTCGCCCGCTGGCGTCGACTCGGTCGAAGTGGTCCTGTAAAATAGCTAGCTCTTGGCGCTCTTCCTCCATCTTGGCCTGTGGTCGTTTGTCGGGGGATGGGGAAGCAGTCGAGGAGGGCCGGAATGGGGATACGGCTTTATTGATTGTTGTTCACGCGGAAACATCGGAGAATCGACCTCAGGACACCACAGCAGTACCGCGCGAGATGTGCGAGACATTGTTGAAATTTTTCGGTTTGACAAAGATGCATTTGGAAGCAACAGCTCGTATTGAAGTCCTGGTGGTACACCGAAGCCATTCTGGCGCATCTCCCACTCGGTGTGCTTCACGTTTCATTGAGTATTTGGTGCCCTCCTGATGAAGCTTAGTCACGACAAAAACCACAACATTGACCCGCCGCGGTACTGATCATTGAGGGCCACCGGCAACGGCTTGCACCTGATCAGCCTACTTATAATGAAAACCACGGCCAGACAGGTGGTAAGGGGCTAATTTTCAAGCAATTTCCCCTCCGACATCCGCTTCCTTGATCGCTGGCCCAATTTGACTGCTTTGGCTTCGGTCGAATACGCGTCCAGTAGTCTTGGTGGACACTCTAGACAAAGGACTTGAATCGTTTAGTCAAATCGATGTTCTATTATTTTGTATCATCCTAGCGTTTCGTTCTCACGTCTATGTGTTCTGTCCAGACCATCTCGGCCGACAGATCAAGGTGGTGCACTTTCCTCGCCGCTTCAGAATATCAGAGTATACGAAAATATGTTGGAGTACACGCACAACAATCCCTGCTCAAGAACCTATTGCCGTGCGTAGTAGGGTGTGTGGGGTTCTACGGGACTGCAGTTGAAATTCATGTGCCTGGCTCTCACCTTTATCTCTTCTATCTGGGCTGTCTTCGCGGTCATATCTCGGTCGTACTTTCCCACCGTCGCGGTCAGTTCCACCTCCACCTTTGCCTTCTTCTTGCGAGATGCCGTCTCCTCCTGCTGATGCAGCTCCGCTGCCTCCCCCGTCTCCTTCGCTAGACGCTCGATGCGCTCGGTCAGCGCTCGGCCCTTTTTCGGATGAGGGAGTGCGACGTGAATGAACACAGTTGTAGTGGCGGCGCGATCGGGAAGGCGGGCACTTGAAGGCCTTGGGAATGTCGATGGAACGTTTCTACAGTTTGTGTGGTTGTAACCAGGGTTTGTATCGTGGTGACCCAAGTGAAAGTGTCCAAAAATTGATGGTTTTCGTTAAACCCGGCGTTCTCGAAAGAACGCACCTGTCTTCTGCAACAGAAGAAGAACCGAGCCGTTCCTGGTAGTACTGGCCGAGACTTCACAAGCAACGCAGTAAAATAAGCATAGGAATACATTGCACACCTTTTTTTCGTGATCTTCCTTCGCTTTTGCCACGGCGTCGGCCGCCTTCGTCTTGATGGAATCCATCTCCACGGCGTTGGTATGCGTCACCTCCTGGAGCTCCTCCCGACGCTTCTTTATCGTCGCCCCTAACGCGCTCACCTCCTAGGTTTGGGAGGAAAGTGTGAAACGATTTCAATTCTTGTGACGTTGCCCCACTACCTCGCCGCTACCACCAAGAGTCATAAATTCAGGAATATTTTCAGGGAGGCACGTCGAAGGTGCAGAGAGAACAACCAAATCGTACCAAGATTGGCACGATTGCATAGATCACGTCTGGCTGAACGCGATGCTTTGTTTTCATTCGATCTGAACACCAAGACCTCGTTTCACGTCAATTGAGAACGCATGTGTAGCTTAAAACGCTCGTCTGCGTAGTCAAACACTATTTCCAGCCGCGCTCTTCGACAATAGGGTACGCGCAAGGTGTTCAGGCATACGACAGAAAATCTTAACCTTCACGAAGGCTTGGCGGCTAAGAACAATCAATCGAACGGCGACGGATCCAATTCCGCCTGTGCAGTGTGCCCCAAGCGAGTACCCGGCTATCGCCTGTTGTATGGCGTCCGGGGTTGTCGTGTATGTAGCCTCACCCGCTCTTTTTCTGTTCGGGTTGCGTGCAGCGTCTGGTGTAGCGCGTCTCGCTCGTCTTCGGCCAGCTTTTCGCACTCCGTCAGGTCGTGCAGCAGGTTCTTGTTCGCAGTCTGGAACGCTCAACAATGCCGGATCACACGTGCGCCCGCGAAGAACGTTGTATCCGGGGATGGACAATCGCATGTGTGCGGTGAGGTGCTTTATGGGTGCAAAGACTCTTGTATGTCATACGGATGTTCAGGCGAAAGATATGGGAGAGTGTATATTTACTCGAAAGTTTCAGGGATTCCATCTGTCAGTCTGCCTCACTATTGAAACTACTATTATGTGAACACACCTCGTATGTTGGGATTTTCGTCCCATTATCAACGCATGCCTGCATGGACATGCTTGAGACAGACCAACCGATGGTTTTGGTTCGGTCGAGCATCTAGATTGCTTGATATTAACCGCGTCTTCATGTGGTTTCCTGTTTGGCTCTCTGCTGAACGATTGACCTTTTCGCGTTGTGAACACATGCGCTGTTGCCTTGTAGGTCACGCCATTAATGCTTGATTGTAAGCTTGCTTGCTCGCCCACCTCCTCTTCCACCGTGGTGCTAAGCCGGCGGTACATGATGCCGGTGAGATCACTGAGATACTGGTTGAACAATATCCCGCTCTGAGGTCGTGGGTTCTTGCTCGCGAAAGAAATGAGCACCTCCATCGCGTTGGGACACCTCCGGAGAGTGCGGCACCACGTTCGCGTTGATTGGTAGATCTGGTCAAGGCTATCGCCACTGTTTGGGGGGGGGCTGCCGTCTGCTGATGTCACCGCCGCTGTCCCTGCCGTCCCTGACCCAGCTCCAGCCACTATTGTGGCGCCAAGACCGTCTCCGCCACTGTTACTGGCCTCTGCTACACCGCCGCCTACCAGAGTGGTGTTGTTCTTATTTCTCTGGCCATCACCAGCGCCGTGAGGTGGTGCTGGTATGGCTGAACCGCCCTTATTTTCGGCTGTAGTAGCGCCCTGGGGCGTTTTATCGCCAACCACCGACTGGCTGCTGGTACCATACGGTCCCTGTTGTCGTCTATCCACTGGTCCCATCGCTCCGGATTTTATCGCTGCCTGCTCCATGAGCCATTGCGCCTGCCACTCATCGTAGTGTTCGAACAAGCATAGGGCATTTTTGAGGCGCGGTGTCTTGTTGTGAAGAAATTGTTCTGGAAGCTTGCAGGTGGGCTCATACCCATACGCCACGTATCATTTTCAATAATAGCCAATGAAACATTGTTTCTTCTGTGAGGCTTCGGTAAGAAGAGTGAGCGAATCGTCAGTTGGATGGGAACACTTACTGCAGGAGAGTGCATGTAGGCGACCCCAAATGGTCATATGTCTACCTGCAGGCAGCTCTTGATCGGGTTTGCCCCCGCCTCGGCGAGAGCATCCAGCAGTTCAAGTTTTGCGGTGCAAGGCATGTAGCTCAGCCCGTTCAATTTGTCCAGCGTGTCCTGGAGTGATTGCAGGCAGTGAGGGCGCGAAGTGGATGTTTTTCTTGAAATAGAGACCTACTGCAATCACTGGTGGACATGCGCCGTATTTGGTCCTGTCGAGCTTCTGGCATGGTCTAGACTACCAGGCTTCGAGGTAGTCTACGGCAAAAACTCGTCGCTTGTTTGTTGGCGTACGGGGCAAGACAAGGATTCGCAACATGGATGGATTGAATCGCAACACAAGTAATTATTGTATGACATTCTCATCCCAACTACCCCCATCCACCCGACGGGAAAAAATTTGAGCATGTGGTTGAATGTGAAGCCCATCAAATGTCCCAATTGGTTGGAAACATGGACCCAAGACCGCCCAACAGTGGCGTCGACACATTCAGCTCCAAGATCCCGAAACGAACTTGAAAATATCTCGGCGTAGGACTACAGCTCAAGCAATAGATAATGATCGTAGCAGTAATCACAAGCTGCCAGTCTGTGCTAAATCATGCCGCATATCTCCGACGCGGACTATGTACGCACCCGTCTCCTGAAACCTACATGTCTACATATCTACTGTACGTTGGTGACGACATCAACTACTTAGAATTCCATGCGTCGATGACGTAATCTCCTACCTCCATCACAGCGATAACTCGCTGCGCCTCGACGCTCGTGAGTTTATGCATCGTGAACTGCTGTGTTTATTGACCAGTCAGGTTATTACGCCGGCGCGTGGTAGAATGTTAACCACGGCGTCCGTGGAGGGTGAGGCACTAGGGAAAGGACGGCTCCTGTCGACGTGTGTCGTCGTCGATATCTGATAATTTCTGAAACCGACGAAAAAGGGGCCACGCAATATATTAGGGTAAGGGCTTGTTTTGTGTGCGAACCCCCCGCTCGCACATGTTTCCGGGCTGGCTGCTGTGCCAGACAGGTGCGGCGTGCGTGGGGCATTGACCATCTTGATTTTTCGGCCATTCAACATTGCATCCACTCACACCACGAAGGACGACTCTCGCCACCATGCCAACGCCACGGTCGTTCTTATTCTCCGCGGCGATCCTTCTAGCGGAGGTGGACGTGAGGGCGTTCCTCATCCCTTCGCCCATCGCAGCTGCATCATCATCACGAGCACCGACACTGCCGAGGGTCTCCAAGGTGGGTGGGAATTCACTCGTGGACCGCCGGCCAGGGTTTGCCCTGTTTGCCTCAGTTGTAAGGTTGTTGTGCAGGAAGAAGGTATGAAAGCGGCCACGGTTGCTTCAGACAGCACGGAATAGTAGGCCTGAAGTTGAACACGGAGTTGATGCAACTGCGGCAGGCAGTGCCTGAATCGTGGTCATCCCTGGGTTGGTTGTGGGTTGCTCCACATGTCTGCAGTCCGTGGTCCACGCCCGCTTCTGCTCTGTGCTCAAGTATTGATGGGATCGGGCCGGGCCCCCCTCGTTTTATCTCTGTTGGGAACGGCGCACATGCGTTCCATAAGGACACCAGAAACAGCCGTTGATGACGTAAGATACCCTCCCCCCCCCCCCCCCCCGGAAAAAAGTTCCGCAACGGCTACTGGTGTATTGGTCCCCGGAAAGAAGGGGGAAAGGAAGGGGAAAAGGGGGGGGGAAATTTTGGGTTTTTTTTTTTTTCAAAGCCCATTGGGTGGGGCTTGGGAAGGAGGGCCGGCGGCGTGGGAAAAAATTTGGGGACTTTGAGGGGCCCAACAAAAAGAACGAAGAATTGGGGAAAGGGTTTTTAAAAGGAGAAATTTATTTAATATTTTTTGGGGGGGTCTTTGTTGGTCCACTGGGGGGAAGCTTTTCCGGGGAAAGAAAGACGAAGGAAAAAGGGGGTGGGCTGGTAAATAAATCAAATTGAACAGGGGCAACCCCCCCCAGGGGGGGGGGCCGGGCCGGTTTTAACAACCTTTTAATTTTGTTATCTTTTTCCCCCCG